AATTCTACTGTAAAAATTATTGTATATTTAAAGTCTACCAAAATCTAGAATAATTATACTACTGCATTTATGACCAATCGAAACTAACAATTTTGCTATCCAAAAAGATCTGGTCTCAAATACTTTGAACTAGCAGGACTCTCATGTAAAACTGTGTTCTTTTTCTAGTAAAATATCATAAAATTCATCAATATAAGCACCCTTGTTTACCTGTAAAAATCGCTTAGATAAACCATTCAAGATGTTGGAATTTATTAAAATAGATCTTTTCCAATAATATAACATAATAATGATGTTATATTTATACGTCACACTGCATTCTACTCTCACCCTTGGCTCATATTTGGAATAAAATACGCACATAGGTGGTGTCCCCATCTCAAATGATAATGATAATAACTATTGTACAGTTGTTAATTTTAGTAAATTAATCTTCTATTACTATTACCGAATTAAATTTGTTTCTCCTATTTTTTAAAGATGAATTGTATTTGCACACACCCATTTATTGAAGATAGAGTCTACTGTACATTTTGTTGCGGATTTGCCTAAAGCGAAAGGGAGAGAACTTTAGCATTCAAACTTTTGTTGGTCTGCGTCAACATGTTTTTACCCATTATTGGAAATCCATACCAACTTATTTACTCTCGAGTCCGTATGTACGCATGACTCATATATTGACATAACACTTGAATGTTTACCACATATTTCAAGGTTCTGAATAGTGTTAAATAGATACTAACTGACACAGACTTATGAAATGTTTGCAGTTTACTGTTAGGATCGATGTTGTTTGAATTTTAAGCGGAGAGTACAATGATTCATGATTAAATGAATCATCAGTGCTAAGCATGAGTTTCAATTAGTAGTCAAACTTGTATTAATTCTTTTGTTGTTGCAAGAAAAAATCAAGTCTCTAACAATAAAAATAAATCCAACATTTTAATGTCATAATTTTGTTTAGAAACTTAGTAAACTTTTTACTAGCTGATTAAAATTTTTCAATAATTTTTTTCTAAAAACATTTTTTATTAAAAAGGTGTGGCATTAATGTTTCAATTAAATCGACTGGTTATTTAGATAATCAAAGTATTAAATTTTAGAGTGTTTATGCTATGAGTGTGCAGTTAGGAATATTTGTATTACAAAATAATAAGTTATATTATAATTAATTCTAAACTTTGCCAGTGGCAATATCTTAAAATATTTTTTGTTTAAGTAAACGAGTCATTCTTTTTTTGTAGTAGCCTTTATTCTTACAGAGGTTCTTATTCTTCGATATATTTTGCCAAACTTAGTGTGATTAAGTGCTGCAATATAATCAGTGTGTATTTGTAAATAAAATAACTCCCAGGAGAAACCACTTGAATTATGAATGAATTAATGAATGAATGAATTAAATCTTTATTCCAACAAAATGATTTACATAAATTAATGTACAAAACTGTTCAATTGTTAAAAAAAACCTTGAATATGAATTAAAAGAATAATCAATAAATTCATAAATTAAATAAATAAATTCATTAATTAAATTCATTTTGTGTCAAAATATATAGTAAGAATAAAAACTTCCACTAACAAAAGATAGCTTACAAATAAATTAGATTGGATAAAATAGCTTTTTAATTTTTTTATAAATATAGTAAAATAGGACAAACATGGATATTTTAACAAAATTATATTTAGAGTAAAACCAAAGTTCACTGATGTGTGTGTGTGTGTGTTGAGTATGGTCAGAGCTGTGTGGTAGGTCGATATGCCCTGGTTCGCCTCATTACCTCACCCCCCTACACCTCCCATCACCCCTCCCCTAGCCACTTAAGTGATCTTGGCTCCATTACCGGTAGTAGCGCACCCCTGCCCCACCACCAGTGTTTACCTTTGCTCCATTTAATAGCTTTATACCAGGTTGTACCCTGATACTGCCGTTTGGTCTTTAACTTCAAACTTGATTCCTCCTTGGGTTATGAGGGTTATTGTCAGGGTGACATTTTAGATTTCATGCCAAAATGAGTGCCTTTGTATGCTTGCGCCAAATTGCTTATAATATTTTATTACCTTTTGTCTTTTATCTACTTATCTGTTTAAAGCTTTGAATAATGTAAAAAATATGTTGTCAATTATATTATTGCCTAATGTTATTCAACATATCTTACTTGAACTGAAATATAGGGTTTCCAATATTGTCTCTAGCTTAGCACAGATAAATTTGTGTTGGTAAACGTCATTCTACTAGCTTGCGTACAGTATGAAACTTTGTGTTTTTTTTTATAAAACTTCAGAAACCCTTTAACATTTTAATATTTATGAACATTGAATCAAACAAAAGTTGGCATTTTTCTCAAACCTCACATATTTAAGGATTAATATAAAGGCCTTTGTCTCTTGTAAGCTGAAAGGACTTCCATCCCATTCTTGTACTCTGACTTTACTCCTTTGACTTTTGGAAGCTCTCTCAATGTTTTATGTGGAAAGTACAAGGAAAAAATACCTAAGTAGAAAATTTAACACATTGAACAGTCAACATTTCCTTTCAGAGGATTTTATGAACATTTAAAAATCAATACCATTCAGATATCTTAAATACTGAAAAAGGTACAATCAATCATAAGTTTTATGACTAAAAATGATATTTTGAAAAAGATAGTCATTAATAAATCATTATCATTATATTATGACAGCAAAGTAATCTTCGGTTACATTATGTAACCCTCTGCCTCATAGTCAACATCAATTTTGTTCAAAAGGTCGCTGTTGTGTATATTTTAAAACAATTAGTCTGATGATTAGCTATGTTAGCTCACAATATGTGTACTGATAACAACTGAAAAAAAGACACAAACTCTCTAGTTAGATCATCATTTTAGAAATAGGAAGTTGGAAGAGTAAACAAACTATATCTTTAAATAATCAATTTTTTTAGATAATGTTCAGTAAACTGTTGCTAGATTTCAGGGGTTGGATTTTTCCATCAAAAGAGAATGACATTTTGTGTTTTATCACCATTTAGGGTATTGAGGCCACCTTTTGTTTTCTTAACATGAGTCACTAAATTGACTATTTAAAATATCTGTCACGGAAAGTAAATAAAGATACGTCTTATAACACTTAAAACATATATTTATGGTTATACTGTTACTCACAAGACGGTAAATATACAAAAGATGGTAAGTGGTGATTGATTTCGATTGGACACTCCAATCATCATCAGACCCAATAGGCCAATGATTCGAATAATGAATCGCCTATGAATAGGCTAAATGATTCGCCTATTGGGTCTGATGATGATTGGAGTGTCCAATCAAAATCGATCACCACTTACCATCTTTTGTATATTTACCGTCTTGTGAGTAACAGTATAACCATAAATATATGTTTTAAGTGTTATAAGACGTATCTTTATTTACTTTCCGTAAATTTAATAACACGTACAATGCTGATCAAGAAGTTATTTAATATCTATCAGATCTTTATTGCTGAAATAACAACGTAATCCTGTTAAGGAAAGACTTAAAGATCCTATTCAATCAGATCTAATTGATTGATCTAACTAGCTGGGTAGCGGAGTGGTTAAAATGCTCGGCTGATAATCAAAAGGTTTTGTCGGTTGATCCTGAAAAAAGTTTGTAGCTTCTTGATGGTTCAAAATTGGACCAATATGTCACTGATCATTGGACTTTAAATAAATGATCCTGACTGATGAAACAGCTGATCTTAGTCAGTAAACCTACACAGATTATCTCACACCATTTTACACTCATCCTTCACTCATATATTGGTTGAAATATGCACCTAGGTGGTGTCACCATCTCAATTGATAATGATAATCTTAAAAACTAATAATACAACAACAAAATTGCTCGTACTTTAAAATTTCATGTCGGCTTCAAGCCCTTCTCCATTTCCGCACCAATCCATCTTCAGAGCAAATGACAATTCAGCTGAATAGAATTGTGTTGATTTTAGCTTTATTGTCCCAAAGATTGTTTGCTGAAGCGCATCCAATATGATGACAAATATTTTTCCAATTCAATGACTCGGTCATCATGGGTGCAGGGCTCTGAGAAAAACCAAATTTAAAATTTGCTGTGCTCTTAATTTTTTTGCAGATTGTAGGAACAAAAATGTTTTAAAAGTTTGGTAAAAAAACTCTGACTTTTAGACTGGAAATAATTATGTTATAAACCTTTTACACTAATTTATTCGGTGTAAGGGTTGGAGGGTCTTTTCCATCAACATTTGGAACAAGATACTTTTCTCTTCCTGCGAGGGCTTATGGTGATAATTTTTTGAAGGCCCAACAGTTGACTCCCTCTTATCCAGACACCTTTTAACCGGACATCGGTTTAACTGGATTACACCTGGCGGAAATGAAATCTCTTTAACCGTACAATTTTTATCAGCACATCGGTTTAACGCGGACAGGAAGTGGGCGGTACTGAAACGACTGTTCTCGTGGGAAAGATTTGAGACCAGTGATCACATGTCTAAATACAATGCTCTCCTAAATTTAAGTCTACTATCACAGTAAATGGTCCGTTTTAACAAGTTTTTGGGGACATCGGTTTAACCGGAAAAACCGTTATCCAGACTTTTCTCGGTCCCGAGGAGTCCGGATAAGAGGGAGTCTACTGTACTTTGATGGGAAGCCCACCTCCCAGATGATTATAATTCATTGTGATAGCCCCGAAACTGCAATAATGAAAAAATGGGGTTTTACACTACATATCATGCAGTTCCAAAAGTAACAATCGTGTTACCTGTTTTGGTGAGATGACATGATGATCAAGCTGATTTCATGTATTCCCTGGACTGAAGGGTTTGAGATGGCATTTCGCTGAATTATGTCTCACGGTTGTTATGCACTATGTACTTTTGTAAGTGCATCACAGGTATTGTGAAAATCCCATTTAGTTCTTGATAATGACAATGACAACACAGTTCAATTTGCATCTGGCTTCTTGTGATTTTACTACATGTTTGGTGTTTATTGTTGACAGGTAGAGAATGTGCGGATGCTGGACAGATACAACCTCAAGAGTCAATCTCAGGGTGTGTTGTTCATCACCCCCACCCACCTCATCTTTACTGACCATGTCAATAAAAAGGAGATGTGGGTGAGTCTAACAATGAAATATTCATTTATTAGCTCATTCATTTATTAAGTCAGTAGATATTTTATGCTCCGCAACTGGACCCAGCTGTACATGATTGTGCTTTTTAACAAATTGTTCTGGCTAAAGAAACAGCAGATTTTAGTGAGTAACAAAGATACACATAAGACAGATACGGTAATCTCATTTCATTGTACGTTACAATTCATTGTGGTACTCACAATTGTTCACTCATTATGTTGAAGTCTAAATAAAGTGATTAAGTCTTTATTGTATTCAGTTGTACCGGTGATGATAGAGAAAACAGTGAACAAATTTCATTGAAGTTATTTTTTTTTTAAGTTGTATACAATTTCCTTGTGGTAAAAAGTCTTTTTCCTACAGTTATCTAACAATGTACATGTTCTCTCACTGATTTGAGAAAGCAAAGTGGCCAATTCGCTCATCAGTGAGACAATGTTAACATTGTCTCACTGTAATTACTTTTTCTCACTCCAGATTTGCAACGTGAAGGCACGAAATAGTGAGCGCGTAACATGCAGGCAACGTCGTATGCGCGCGAAATACGTTGGCAGCACTGGCTGTAAATCAGCTGGTCAGCTGTTGTACTGTTGTATTTGTCACTTCACATTAAATGTTATATTAAAAGTTCACTTCTGTGTAAAAATTGGTTATGTTTCTTCACCAATTTATTTGTTTTTTGGTAACTGTAGGAAAAGTATAATGTGCAACTCGAGTTCAAAGTACAATTGCCTCACTCAAGAAACCATTCCTCACTGGCCTACGGCTCGTGAGTAAGTATTTCTCTCGAGTGAGTCAATTGCTTACATTTCTCACTAGTTGCACAAATAACTATTGTTATTTCCAACATATAACATTACAAAAATGAATTACTTAGTTTTTATAACACTATAGTAAACAAAAATTATGAATACAGTCTTTTCAGAGACTCATACATTCATTTGCACATGATAGCTTATTACTTCTACCATATGATATTTCAATTTCAAAACTGACACTTTTAATGTATTCAAAAGAGACCAATAATATACCAAGAAAAGTGAAGGAGGAGTTTAATTTTGTAAAGATGTATATGAGTTTACTTTCTCGACGTATAACACAAATGGTTCTCGCTCTGATGTTTGGTTTCTCATCAATGATGAAGCAGCACTCGGATAGATGGGATGAGATGAGAGTGAAGGTGTTGGGTGTGGTGAGAAGTAGAGCTCTCAGCTGATTAATGGCTGCTACCAACCTCTCAACACATAATATACCTGTTAGTTATGTTGTTATAAGTTTATAGCTTTTATAAAATTGTGGGAAAATACATTGGAAAATAACACTCTTCAGTGCTTTCTACAACTTACTAATATTTTACACACAGAAAATCACCACAACAAAAAATACGAACCTACTTTCTCACCTACTTTCTCACCTCTTTCTCACCTACTTTCTTTAAAAGCTTTTTTCTCAGGTCAGATGCATCACCAGGAAAATCTACACATAGGCTTACTGCTAAAAAGATAGTTTCCTGTAAATGTGCAGAATACCTTTATAAATTAAAATAGGCTAAAAATTAAGTGAAATATAATGAATTTGAATTTTTTTTAAAATTAACATGGACCATGGGTTGCCATGGGTGAAGAAAAAAAAAAAAATATAAACAGAAAATCAAAACTAATTGAACAAATTGCAATCATGTGTTTTATTTACAGCGTGGGGGGAAAATAGAGATGTCTGTTAACATAACATATTTTTGGTTGAGTTTTCAACCACTGGACGACTGCTAGTTTAAATAAATAATTGTCTGTAGATCCGTATTGATTCAAAATCCAAATGTCAATGCTATTATTACCAAGAGTAAACTTCCCTGGCCTACCTGAAATAGACGAGTACTGTGTATCCCTTTAATTTTGTGTTGCTTGACTTGCAGGTGCTGTTCATGCACATAGCCAGTGTAGACAAGCTACCCCTGACTACTACTGGGTCTCCGTTACACATCCGCTGCAAGATGTTTCTCTCCGTTACCTTTGTGATTCCTCGGGAACGCGACTGCCATGAAGTCTATACTAACCTACAACAGCTCTCTCAACCTGGTAAGTCTTAATAGCCAACATTTAGGTCAATTCAACTGGAATGTCAATTCTAGAAAATTTCCCTTTTGGGATTTAGTTATAATTGATTGCTTTGATTGGTTCCTAGTAATAAAGTGATACTTTTTCATTGGAGGTACTCTTGTTGAGCATCTTTGTTTATGCTTGACACCGGTTTGTAAGTAAACAAATGGAAGTCTTCTCTGCAGAGGAGACTGATGCATCGTGCCTGCGATGACAGCTGAACCCAGTGCTGTCTAAATCAGTACTGACTACTGCTTTAGACCGCTTCTAAAGCAGTAGAAAATTGTAATTTGACCTTCCAACACACTTGCATATGTATGACTAATTATATGATTGACAGCAGTGGCAGCATTAGCTATTCTATATTTTGTCTTCTAGGAATTTTTGTCTGAGTTAAGTGATGGGTAATATAAATTACTAATTGTAAATAAAGAGAAGCATAATAATTTATATGCAGTACATGGTAAAATGCTATCGATAAACAGCCTCCAAGGCTAAGAAAAGATTTACATAAATGAAGTCTGTGACAGTTGATTTTGAGCCTATACTGAAGAATCGCTTCTAGGAAAAACACCTATTCTAGGTAATTCATTGACCTGTGTTGTCACAACAGCACTAAGCAAAATGCAGCTCGAGACCTGAAAATTTAGGTCCTATGTCCTTTTTACCACTAGAAACCCTGACACCAATATTTTAAATTGTACATATGTATACTGTTTTAAGTTCTTTCTGAAACAGACTTATTTCAATTGTAAATTTTTTTAAGCTATTTTCTGTTAACTGGTCTTAACACTCTACATATATTTAAGATGGTTTGAATAACCTGGCAGTTGTACTCTATTGTACGACTTTGTCAAGTCAATGATTCCTTTAGTATCCTAACAACATATAAAAAGATTATAAAGATCATTTTTTATTATCAGCCCAAGACCATTTCTGAAGTATCAAGTTTAATATCTTTGATGTCAATGGGGATTTTTTTTACCATAAACAAATACCCAGTGTTGCCAATACTGAATGAAAGAAGTTGTGTTATGTGCAGTTAATCATAACATTAATTTCAAAACAGTTATGTATGTAGCAATCTAATCATTTAACTCTTCAACATTTTGTTACTTACAGTCCACATAGAAGAATTGTACTGTTTCCACTACTCGTCGAGGGATGACATCCCCAAGGCAGCCGGGTGGAGCTACTTTGACCTCCAGTCGGAGTTCCAAAGAATGGGCGTCCCCAACGAACAGTGGCACCTCATGCCACTCAATAAGTTTTATGAAGTAAGTCCATTTCTTTCTCTTTACTGATCATAATACTGTGGTCTTGATTAACCAACCTACATTAGTCACATCAAGATCGAGTAGGCAAACAAAAGTTTTGATTGCATCATAAAATATTAAAGACTAAACAAAGACGGAAAAACAAATTGACTGAAGCATTTAAATGTACGATAAGGCGGTACCCATCACTCAACTTAGTGGAAGGGATTTACAGGTAAAGGAGGTGATGGACTGTTAGGTATTTTTAATTCCTGGCGGTAAGCAGCTCGCCAAAAAAAAGGAAATTGCAGTAAATTTTAGATTTCTAAAGCCTGGTGTGTATTTTCCAAATACAGTCAGTAGTTGTGAAAAAAGGTTGACCCAACGCACTTGCTACACTGTACAATCTTGCTAGAGGAAGTTGCTTACAATTACAAAGTTCTCAATCATTCACAGGGATGTTTGGATAACACGGAATGCCCAATAATTGAATATCAGATAGTTGAGACTCTATTTCATAAGAACCTGAAAAACACAATTGGTTGATTCTGGTAGCTAATTAGCTGATAATAAATAAAAATCTTGCCTAATGTGTATTTTGTGTATTTTTTATTTTTTCCCCTATTCAGTGAAGAAATGGATAATGTTAGTGACAACTGCAGTGACAGGCTTGTGTTTTAGATCTGTGACACATACCCACGGGTGTTGTACGTTCCTGCCTCGGCCACCACCAACATCTTGGTGAGCTCCAGTCAGTTCCGCAGCAAAGGCAGACTGCCCGTCCTCACTTACCTGCACACCAACAAGGTAAACATACAGTCATAGTTTTTTTATGTCCCACCTTCACATCCTAGGATGCTAGATTCTGGTTCTAGTTTTCCACATTACTTCAGGCTAATTCTAGAGGGTCGGGGCATTATCACATTGATAAAATCTATTGGTGATTGGTGAGATTTGAACCCAGGACCTCGGGCTCCGAAGCCCTGTGCTCTACCACCAGACAAGCTCGCTTCCATACATCATGGTACAAGTACACGTGACTGTGTCGAGCAGGCTAATGAGTGGAAGAGATTGCAATGTTGCCACATTTTTGGGTGTGGCCGTGTTTTAGAGAAAATGGTTCCGGTACTGATAATTCACATCTGGTTTTGATCTCCAACTGATACTGGTACCAATTTTCAAAGTGGTTCCAACTCATCGCCAATTTTAAATGACCAAAGGCAGAAGAATTTGCAAACTGAAATAAGGCACATATTTATCATTAAATTTCACAGATCAGCACAGTCTGAGATGTTGTTTGTTGTGTGTTGTAGGCAGCTATTTGTCGCTGCAGTCAACCATTGTCTGGGTTCAGTGCTCGCTGTGTAGAAGACGAGCAGATGCTAGACTGTATTCTACAGACCAATCCCAACGCCAAATACATGTACGTCGTAGACACCAGACCAAAGGTTTGTAAAAATATATTGAACTTTTCAAAACTAGATGAATCTCAGATTAAAACTTGACTTGATTACAAAATAATCAACTATTCTTAACTGATCAACGATTACTTTTTCCAGATAAATGCAATGGCTAATAGAGCGGCTGGAAAAGGATATGAAAGTGAGAACTTTTATGAAAACATCAAGTTCCACTTCCTTGGTATTGAAAACATACATGTAATGAGGAGCAGTCTTGCCAAATTAATAGAAAGTGAGTACTTGAGCGGACTACAGGTTTCTGTTTTTGATGATGTTTATTTTGTGTGTTGAAAGTCTTATCTATGTACTAAACAAAATCTTTAAATTTTCTGTATAGTATTTCCAAACAAACTGTTAATTTATTCTTAAAAGTTTATTTTCTTATATTCTTAGTTTATTTTCTTATATTCTAAGATTATTTTCAAGATTATGTTAAAAATTAAAAATATCTGTAAGCTTCAGCTCACTTTGACACAGATTTGCGGTCAAAAACTGCAGATTTTGGTTAGTAAATGAAAACTTTGAATTTTTTATCAATCAATTGTTGTTATTGATGTGATTAAAACCAGGTTCTAACTATTCTGTTAGATTAAGTAGCTATTTGACATTTTGATCTAACTGTGAAACGTTTGTTCAGTGTCAGTCCTAGCGTTCAAATTGACATGTGATTTGCTTATGCCTACCTGTTTTGCCAAGGCTCAGAAAATCAGTCTCAGAACTAATGAGGGTTCAGGGTGGAACTAACTGTCCAGCATTTGCACCGGATGTAAGACAATCAATCTTAGGGTCTAAATAACGTAGAGTTTTAAGGAATTTTGATGTGTTTTAATAATGAAGATGTGTTGTTTTATTTGAGTTGGATTATTTTGGGATAGGCTATGTTAGTTTTGAATCCCAACTCCAAATAACACAAATTATACTTTTAAAAAGTGCTGTGATTTTAAATCCAAACTCATGTTGCAATTTAAATATTATGCTTTCTATTCATGGTGCTGTTAAATACTGGTATCTCATGTTTACCTATTTTTAAGAGTTGGACAACCAGTCATAGAGCTAATTCGTATTAGAACAGAGACCATGCGTCCAGTACCGCTAAAATATATCACAACCAACCCGTGGCTAGTAGACCCCGTCCACAACCTTACAAGGAAAAAATATACCTGAACGATAGTATCGTATATGGCATTGTAAGTGGTGTTATTGTTTACAGCTTGTGAGCTGAAGTCTCCGTCAATGAACAGTTTCCTAGCCGGACTAGAGTCTAGTGGATGGCTGAGGCATATCAAGAGTATACTGGACACTTCCATGTTTATAGCCAACGCAATAGACGCAGGCATCAGCGTCGTTGTACACTGCTCCGACGGCTGGGATCGTACAGCACAAGTGTGCGCTTTGGCAACCCTGCTGTTGGACAGCTACTACCGTACGGTGCAGGGCTATCAGGTACAGATCCTTACACTATGATGTGATCAAAACAGAACACCCTATTGCAGCAAACTAGCAGACTTAACAAAACACATTCATTAATTAATTATCCAGCCTATTTAAGGGTGTTTGGTAATTATAATAGTGGATTCAAGCCAATCCCTCTGGCAATGCATGTTAAGATCACTAGCCTATATCTCATGTCGAGTTTCTGTCACTCGGTCACATGATCTGCAATCTACTTCACTTAGATTTTTATACAGTATGCAAGAGGTTAAGTCACCATTATTCTTTCCAAGTAATCCTAAAGTCGTCTGTTGGGCGACCGGTTTTGGCATCTATGGCGTCATAGTCAAGCTAGCCGTAAAATGGCTCCTAGGAGGTTGTCATAAGTCTTAAAAAACACTCAACACATATACATGAACATAAACAAAAAACAGTAAAATGCATGGCCATACAACTCAATGTCACATGGCGGCAGGTATAGGGTATAGGGTAGGTCTAGACTTGGAATTTTAGGAGTTGCACCTACCCTCATCAGTGTGAAACCAGTCGTTACCAATAATGTAGTTGATAACCTTGTATGTATGTCCACCAGGCCCTGATAGAAAAGGAATGGCTAGCGTTTGGTCACAAGTTCACCGATCGCTGTGGTCACATCGCTGGAGACCCTAAGGAGATATCTCCCGTGTTCACTCAGTTTGTAGAGTGTACGTGGCAGTTGTGTTGTCAGTTCCCCTCCGCATTCCAGTTTAACGAGAGGTTCCTGCTGTGTCTCCACGATCACGTGACGTCGTGTCAGTACGGAACATTCATCGGCAATTGTGAGAAAGACCGGTTGGACTTGAGGTTTGTTGACTCTCATTGTCCTTCTCTAAGCTTTTATTATTGTGATGTTGCTATTCAATTTTAAACATTTAACTTGTATTTGACCTTACAAAATAGTATACCACAAATAATTTGAGTCCAGGGGCTTAGAGGTCTCATTACTTTGTCCTAATTTAGGACTTCTTTGGATAGTATATTGTAGTTCATAAATCCTTTGTGACCTTTTGTACATAATCTATTAGCCCTAGGACTCAAATATTCTTAGGTAAGCGAGCTGATCCATAACCATTTTCAAAAATTCCTAATCAGCCACTTGGATAAGGTATAACAACTGTAGCAATTTCTGCAGCTGGCAGTAATAGAACACAGTCTATTTTCAAAACTTGCTGTTTTACAGATCTATGAGACTTACTGAGTTACAGTCAATAACTTTGTTTGTAGGCTACATGAGCGGACATACTCGTTGTGGGGCTTCATGGCAAACCACATGCATGAGTACCTGAACCCTCTATACTCGGAAACAGCTGTTCCTGGTATGATGCGACCCAACTTAGCACCACAAACCATCAAGTACGTACTCTTTTTGTATTTTTGAAATTAATGTATGTTTGTATCCACCATCTGTGACCACTAACCAAAGATAATTGTGACTTTTTTCAATCAAAGCTGTCAACTAGACATGAAATTTAAACAATATTATCGAAACAAGGACAACATTTTGATTCTCTGAATCTCTGATTGAAATTATTGGGAGAATCCAATGCTGGCGAACCTTGCTTATTGTATCAGCTAATCAACAATTTCAATTTTAGTTCCTAATATCTATTCATATCAACAAGCTCAGCACCAACTATGAGTAAAACTAAACTTAAAAGTGTGGCTGACACAACCAACACACATCAAACGTTGAAAAGTAAGCAAAGTAACATATGAAGTTGTACTAATTGTGTATTGTGTATACACTCTTGTAAATGTTAACAGTGGAATTGTAGCAACATACTGTAGAAAATTCATACTCAGATTAAAGTAAAGATGCAATTATTTGACTTCACTATGGCTCCATGTCAGGTTCTGGCGAGGCATGTACTGCAGGTTTGAGAGTGGGATACATCCTAGAGAGAACCTAGAGGAGCTTCTGTTGACCTGTTGTGACCACTCCAGCTCTCTAGAAGACCACATCAAGCTGCTGCAGAAGGTACTGTACCTTGTACCTTGTAGACTCATACGTAAATAGTCATAATAGTCCGTTTATATAGCCATTAATTACATCATAGTACAATAGGTTATAGAATCTTAAAAAAATTTATTTCTTAAAGTACAATTGACTGTTTTACTCAATTCTCCCAATAGGGAAGTAGCTTTTACTGTTGGTGGCATGGTCAAACCTAAACTCAGGACTGATTTTATTTTTCATTTTGATGTTCCCACAATCAAAAACCATGTGGCCAAAAATTCTATTCGTTTAAAGTTACACCACACTATACAAATGTTATAAAAAGACTTTTTCCCTCAATTAATTGTTGAACCCATTGTAATCAAAACAGGGAATATATGACATGGTTCCAGAAATATTTTAGTAAAAATCCAATCAGATGAATGCAGTTTTGTGTAGTCTTCAGGTTTGCTGTGACAGGGGTATTTACCTAATGAATAGCTAACCTTGTGTACTTGTGTGACGTTGTTGTTATGTTTACAGAGAATCACAGCGCTGAAGACCAAGTTGGCCAGTGTAGGGGAGAGAGTCAAGTCTGAAGTTACCAAAGACAGTCCACAGACAATAGACAATAAGCTTCTTTATGACAAAGTAAGTTCTTACACTATACAAGAGGTTAAATACATGGTTGCCCAAAGTAAGCCTTGGACGTCTGAATGGTAACTGGTTTCAACACACAGGTGTCATGGTCAAGACCTAAGACGTGAAGTTGTCGCTCCTAGGAGATCGCCAGAAAGTCTTCAAAGCATACAAACAAAAACGTAAGAAAAATGATAAGGGTAGTGGATGGTAAAGGATACAGCAACGGTCAGTCTAGACCTACATCCTGAACCTACAGCCGTGTTGTGATAATTAGTTGTATATTTTTAAGAATTTCTGACAACCTCCTACGAGCGATAGTTCACAGTAGGGCTTGACCATAACGTCTTAAGGGTGTCAAAACCTGTCGCCATTCAGACGACTAAACGCTTTCTTTAAAGATGGTTTATTTAAAAGAAATCAGGTAATATGTTTGGATCACATACACACAACTGTAGACGTTTTGGTGTAACAAATTATAGAACCGTTATTGCCTTTATTTGAATTGTTGACAAAAAAAAACTTTGCTAAAGTTCAATTTCAACTTTGTTGCAGGTAGAAGAGATTGCTAGGATCGCAAACAGTAATGAGTTTCAAGATCCACTTGGTGCTATTGAGAGAAAACTTTCCAGTGATAAGGAACCTTTAGATACAGGTGAGTTTTTGGGTGTTGACTTTAATGCATTGGGATCTTGTATTTGAATCCTTAAAGGACTGGGTGTGAAAAAGATATTGGTTAATTGGTTGTATCTAAATTGTAGATTACTATAAAATCTTGGAAAGGTAAGATTATTGTAAAAGGACAGTTTGAGTTTGCTGAAAGTATAAATTAGGTAGATTACTCTAAATTTGTCGCCAGCCAAATAGTTTAATATGAGTTTAGTCAGATTAATCATAAAGTATTTATGCAAAATGTCTGCAATATTAGTTGTGCTTGACATACAATATCGGTTCGGTAAGGTACTAATTTATAACTCATTCTGCTGAATGACTGTAAAAGATCTCCAGCTATTGTTAAACCAGAGCTTTTGCAGCTTTCAATGCTTAAAATATTGCTTACCAGCTATTATACAGGATTGAAAAGAGTAACTTAAAGAGTAGGATTGAGTTCTGAGTTTCTTTAGTAACTGGTTAGCGTGTTTTGAATTTTAAAACGTAAAAATTTATTCATAGGATTAAAAATTATGATTCTCAATTCTACCATAATTTAGTCTTTGATATCCATTAATTTATCCAACCCGCAGTAGCATTACAAAATATATTGCAACAATAAATTCTCTAAGACATACATTTATTAATCGCACAGAGCCAATTGTTAAAAATGTTTTAGTTTCAGTGGCCTGTGCCGTGGTGGGGGACGACCCTTTGAAGGGCATCTCATCTGGCAGTATCAAGACTGAGCTTGAGTCCGTGGCCCTTGACTGGAAGCCCTTCCGCAACGTCAAGGAATGTCAGTGTTCCACTCACTTTGACCACTTCATGCGCAAGGTAAGTGCTCACTCATCATATTAGATTTTAATAATAGGTGACAAGTAGGGCCTACATATTTTTGTTTTGTTATTGATCTTTAAATAAATGGTACCAAAACCACCAACTGAATCACTAACCTATGAGCTGTTAGCAATATACTCATCCAAATTACCTAAGTAACCTCCCTTAAGTACCTCCCTTATACGTTTAAATAATTGTAGTAAGTTGAACTAAATGCTCGTTTCTCAGAGGCATGTGTTAAGTAATTGTATCCATCTTGTATTCTTTTGATTTGATAAACCTACCTTATATAACCTACAATTAATAAACAATCTATTTTAGGATTGATTACAGTTGGTTGCATTTTTTTCAGTATCACTGTTGGAGGTGTGGAGATGTCTGTTGTACGAGATGTACAGAGAAGCATGTTGAACTACCAGGACATTTGTCTCAGCGAGCCGTGCCAGTTTGTACTCTATGCTATCGCAGAACTAAACACCCGAGTGAAGCGTCTCCTTAGCTGATCCGTCGCTGGCGCCCGGTGGTTGCGCGAGTCATGCCGCCACCACCGTCCCCGCGCCGCCATAGAAAGCGCTTCTCTTTCAGTAGCGTTCGCTCCTTCCGGCTACGACACATCCTACATTAGCCGATAGTCTAGCTCTACTTGTGATATTCGTACCATCTAGAATGTGATCCACCTCGGTGAATTTTGGTCTATCCTTAGTTTTATACTTTTTTATTTATCGTCTAAGCCTGATTTGAGGTTAATTTGTATTGTTTCAAGCAAACTTAATATATTGTACCATTATTTTTAATGTGAACATTCTGATTTTGATAGAAGATGTTTGTATCCATCTGCTTTATTCCTCTGTTTCCTTCATGCAAATTGTAACAGTCACTGTTTAATGACAAATTTGATGGTGTTTTTGACCAAGTATTATTTTGTTACAAATAATTGCAGACAATATGTATGTGAATGCCTAAATTTGAAGTCTAAAATAAAACTATGATGGTTATTCCAAATTAATATGCTATAAACAAATTGGGAAAATGGAAAAAAGTCAAAATATCAACAAATAGAACATAATGCAGACACAATGGATGGACTTTATGCCAACTCTTAATCTGTAATCTATACATTTGTGTAGCTAAGCTACGCAAGTATATATTGTGTAAAACTTTCTTCCAGTTGCTCTTGGGCCACTTGGTTCCTTAGAATATAGTATTTCTGCAATTATTGACTGTCAAAGCAGGATAGGATAATAATTTCATCATCTTTCCTTCAAGAAATCATATCTTTTCTTTTACATTCTTGAAAACTTGACATCACAAAAGGAAATGGGTCTGTAGTATTTATTCCACAAGTTGACTTTTCGATATTATAAATGATTTAAATACCTGCTATTAGGCTATCCATTGCAAACTAGTTTCAGCTCCCATGTGGAGCCACCATCAGGTGGTAAGGAAATTTTCCTGGTTCATATAAAGAGCGTCACATTTAACATGTAAGAATAAGTAAACAAATAAACATTTAAAGACGACACAGTACTCAAACCGCGTCGGCTGTTAAAGTGTCGCATAAGTGTTGTGTTGTCTTTAAATGTTTGTTTTTTAAGGTTAAATGTAACGCTCTTCATATGAAGAAAGAAATCATCCTTAGTGCTGCCTAATGATGTCTTCACGTTGGAGCCGGAATTAGTTGCGTTTGCAAATTGAACGGATCACCTAACAGCAGGTATTTAAAACTTTTCAAATATTATTTGGTAATCCGGAAGTTAACATCAACACACATTGTTGTCTACCCTAATATAACAGTTATACCTTTTCACGACATGTATCTTTTAAGAAATAATTTAAAATACATGATATTTTAGTTGAGCATTTCCTATTTTATAGGGGAATTACTAAAATATTTAATACCAAGTAGGGATCATCAAAACCAATAAGTTTGAGTAATCTTTGCATGCATTTTTGATGCAGTTGAAAAATGTTACCTCTTATTTTGTGATTTTTTTCATAAATATAGCAATGTAATATGTACCCTTATATTTATATAAAATGTTTTAAATCTAATATTTCCAAACATTAAATTTATGGATTTACTAATTACTGAAATATTACAGCTTGTTACAATTTTATCTTTTAAGTAAGCTGAAGCTTTTTTATTCCAACCAATGTAAATTAATCATTCAAGGCAAACTTGCCTTTGAAAATTAATTGTAAAATGATTATGTGTATAGCAATAAATAAACACAGCTTATTCAGACAGTGTTATTTTTAAGTCAAGCATTTAAAATCTATCTTTATATATGTATTTTAATGTACCCAATGCCTTATATTGTTACTATCAGGTACATTAAATCGTTTGTTTGAAAATTTAATGTTTATGTATTTTAAATGTAAATATCACGCTGGTTTTGTTTTCCTGAGTGACACACAAAGCAATTGGTGTATAATGTGTGTTTTCCCAAAGGTCAAGCATTTTAAACATTCCATATTATAAGATTAAAACATATATTACAGTATATCCAAATTTACTACAGTTAAGAGAAATAGTGTCCATAATTGTCAATAGATTGAAATATATTTCTCAGGATTATTACGATATTGTATAAATTATTTTATTGTATTTATGGAATATTTTTTACGTTATGAGATTATGTTGTTGACAGTAAATAAAAATATACAATGTTGAAAATGACTGTTGCTTTTGTTTTGCCTGTACTTTAAACTGTATAGAGTAAGTTTAAAGTCGCTTTACTCTACTTTTTTTTAACAGTATAGAAATGTGTAAACCTACGTTTATTTGAACGGTTTTGCGAACCAGCATGATCGGACTATGGGAACGGGGGTTTATGGGGGGGGGGGGGGGTTTATTGGGTAAAAATTGGTTTTTCCCATTTTTGACTCAATAAACATTATATTTCACAATTTCTTTCCAGACCATTTTGTTGAGCTTAAAAAAAGAAATAATATTGTATGTTGAAGTGTTGTTGTATGCCTAGTGGTTAGGGAGATAATAAAAAAACTTTAAATTTAAAATTCCCATGTTATTCTTACGGAGAATAAATAAACTGTTGTAGTTGGCTTGTTTATGGATATATTTTAATAAAATTTGCCAATTTTGTTGAAAGCTATCAACATTTCAATAAAAAACACACCTACCTTCCCTGTAGCAGCAAACCTAGGTACTCATTAAAATTAATGTTATCTAATAGGAAACAAATCTGACCATTTTCAGGGAATATTTTTGTACAAATCTAGCCAGGTAAATGGAAATTTGCTTAGTTGCAGGTTGTTGCAATGGGGGTAGTTCACTATGAAATAGGATACAGCTGGTCCAAATAGCTTAGCTATTAAGAAATTAACTAGTGTACCTGTACGAGCAATTGCTAAGTATTACAGGCGTTATTTTAAAACGAATAACAGTCATAATTTCTAATGACTTTAATATTCGACTCAAAGATTATGGAAATACTCAAGATGTACATAACAGATCGATATAATCAACATTTATTGTAAATAGTGTATTCTACAAATAGCCTTACTAATAGCCGCAATAGGTTTCCAGACACATTATGTGTCCAAAAGCCTAACAGCACGACTCCCTTCCCCCCCATACCGCCCTGAGCGGAAGGGATCATTGAGATTCGCTCTAACCTTTCTTCTCCATGGGCAAGTTTACATTCCTTTTCTTTCTTAGTTTTTGTTTGTTTATTTTTTTAAATTTTAATGCCTGTATGTATCCCTGGTTTTTCCTATTTCCCTAGCTACTTTTCTAAACGTCTGAATTGTTTCCTTGTCACTCATCATCTTTTATTTTCTCATCTCTAAACCTATCTTATCCAAGACTTCTTCGCCTGTGTGGAGAGATAAAAACCCCGAGTCACGTATTTATAAATTGTTCTCTTCAGGAGACAAATCCTGAAGAGAACAATTTATAAATACATGACTCGGGGGTTTTTATCTCTCCACATCTACATACTTCCTCTTCCACCTCGTGAAATCTCCACAAATTCGCCTTGACATTTTCCATGTCCTGTGACAAACTGCGTTTCATAATGGCCCATCTCCCAATCTTGTTCCATTCACTTTCTGATGTTATGTATATATCCGAATGTTTACCTTTAAAACGTTAACAAAAAACACTCTGCTCCCAACGCATTTGCCACTTATCTAATATCTCCTCTCTTCTGTTTCCGATGTAATCAATCCTACCCGCCTCCTTGTCTTCCAAAATCAACAGCTTATACAGGATTATCCAACAGTCCTAAATTGAATGTGAAATCTTCAGGCTGTTGGAGAGCACACTTAAACCCAACACGGAAGGGTGCTTGCTGTATTCGGCTATCAACGACAATAGTATTTTTGTATTTCGTTCGCATCTACCAGTTGAAGTTTGTCGGCCTCCTCCTATTGGCCATCCTGGTCAACGTCTTAGTCTCCATTATGTCAAACGTTTTTTTGGTTATGTTTTGATTTTATGCCAAATTTTAGTATAACCAGCTGTTTCAAATATTAGTGTCGATTTCAAAGTATTCATCTGTTAAAATGTAAACAAACATTTTCTCCTTAAGAATAACATGGGAACTTTGAAGGCCACTGGGGCAGAGCCCTGATGGAATTCCAAAGTTTTTTTGTTTGATGGCAAAACTACATGCTAAGACCTTTCTAACGACACATTGGACATGGTGATCTGTAGCACCACCACTCCAAAACAATTATGACAAAAATATGCCTAGCGTATTAAATATATAGATTCTCGTAACAGTCCTAACATATCTTTTTATTGCTTGAAAAAAAAATTCTTTACCACCAATCAAGTTTGTGCTATATAGCGTACTATTTTCCATGTCTATATAATGAAAAAAAAAAACGTAAATAAAAGAAATATAGTTATAAAGATGCAAATTAAAATAATTATTCTGAGTCCACTCAATGATGAAATAACCTTAGAGTTGGTATTTTGGTTGATCTCATATCTAAGAAGGTTGTCACAAATCAAATTTAAATATCTCAAAGGTTAAAAAGTTAAGGGGGGTGCAAGTTACTTTTCAGCCATACATATATTGACGAAACATGATACTGTGTTGTAGATTTGATTTTTTATAGTTTTTGTAAGACAACGCCAACACTCAAAAGTGAAATGTGTCATTTAAGGCAAAGAAAGAACAAACTTACCTACAGAATGGAAGACGAAATAATAGTGTCATGTTAGCTTAACGTATTTATTAAACAAATTTACCAAATTACAGATAAAGTTACAATCACAGGTTGAGTCATCTGGAGTGAAGAGCCGGGTTGTCAAACAACAGCTGTCTTGGAGTCAGCACATTCTCTCTGTCAGTCGTAAACATTGTTAAGGAAAACACTGTTCAATGTTTATTTTTTAAATTCCCTTCATAAAACAGTGTTCAGTATTATAAAAATTTACTATCACTATCCTATATCTATTCATTATTTCAATAATTTTAGCTCTCAGCCTACCTACCACAACCTCCTCATAAACCGTTTTTACTTTCAAAGATTTGATTTTTATAACAAAATTAAAATAAAAAGCGTTTTTTGTAGTTTTCAATTTTTAAATTGAAATTTCAAATATGAATGAGGGGTGATTGTAGAATGAAGTGAGATGCAAGCCCAACTATTAAGAACATCTGATAGAGTTACAAACCACTGGAAAGCTACAACCAATCAAATCCAGACAAAAAAAAAATACTTAATCCCCTTTGGCTACAACAATTTTTCGGCAAATTTTACTGGAACCCAGACTCACGATGAGCCCTGCCATACAGGCCCCCTCCCCTATCATAAAATATGAGTATTATCATTGACTAAATTTTTTATGGGAAAAAAAATTTCAAACCAGTAAGAGCGCTAAGACAAGTAGTTTACAACAGCTAAACTGACACTTGACCGATCGATAAAAAATTTTCAAAGATTCAAAGATTTATTTCAACAAGAAACAAGATTGCACACTTGTACAGTTGACGTCAAGATACTAAGACTAATAAATTAACAAGAGTGAATATATATATATATATCTAAAGATCAACAATGCCATCTATATAACTATAAACAAGGTAACAAGGTGTAAACATAACAGAGCAAGACTAGTCAATGTCAATAATTAATTACTAAAACTTAAATTAATTCTGGAACATTTAAAATATTCTTCCAAGCTATAAAACGGGTTTTCAAGCAGCCAGGCCATTAGACTAGATTTAAAGGACTTCATGCTAACATGGTGTGACTCAAGAGGTAGCCTGTTAAACAATTTAATACCAAGATAAGAAAAGGATTCTTGTGTTTTTGAAAGCCTTGCCTGAGGTAAATCTAAGTAATGTCTCCTCCTGGTTAAATGGACATGAGTTTCACCTCTTAAAGCTATGGAACCTAGATTTGCTTTTACATGTAACAAACACTTAAAAATAAACAAGCTATAAACAGTTAAAATTTTTTCACGGACAAAAAGTGGTTTACAATGTGCATGGTAACTAGAACTTGTAATTATTCTAATAGCTTCCTTTTGCTTTGACAAGACTCTTTTCATGCCATGGCCACAGCCCCAAAGTAGTATACCATAGCTTATAATGCTATTGAAAAAAGCAAAGTAAGCCATTCTCAAGTAGGATTTTGGTATACAAGTTTTTAGTTTTCGAAGAAGATGAACTACTCTTGATAGTCTACTTGTAACATTATTTATGTGGGAATTCCAATTGAGTTTTGAGTCTAAATGTATTCCTAACAGTTTTACATTCTCATTCACATAAGATAAGCTAAGATTCCTGTTTCTTAAGCTAAACAAAATAGACTGGGTTTTGCTACTATTTAACAACAAACCATTACTTTTAAACCATATATTACATTCAGAAATGCAATTTTCCATCTGACCCTTAATAGTTTCAATATTGACATCATTACAAAAAAAAGTTGAGTCGTCAGCAAAAATTATTGACTTACAGGGTGTAGGAACATAGGATGGTAAGTCATTAATCAAAACCAAGAACAGGAAAGGGCCAAGGACCGACCCCTGGGGTACACCACTTTTAATCACCTCTGCATCAGAGAGACTATTTTTGTAACAAACTCTCTGCGAGCGGTTGGTCAAATACTGGCGAAAAAGGTTTAGCTCAACACCTCTGATACCATAATATTCCAATTTAGCAAGAAGAATGTCATGCGGAACACAGTCAAATGCCTTTGAAAGATCACACATGGTTGCAAGTGTGTCCGCATGCTTTTCAAAACCTGTTAAAGCAGCAGAGACCAGGCTTCCGACTGCATCCACAGTTGACAAACCACCTCTGAAGCCGAATTGGAATTTAGAAAAAAAGTTATTAGATTCAAAAAAACAATTCACTTGGTGTATCATAGCTTTTTCTAAAATTTTGGAAAAGATTGGTACGACGGAGATCGGTCTATAGCTCTCTGGATTTGACAAATCACCTTTCTTAAAAACTGGAACTACTTTTGAAAATTTGAGACACTCAGGAAAATGTCCAGAAAGTAAACAAAGATTTATACAAGATGTTAGGGGCTGCAAGATTTCGGGAAGCACACTTTTAATTAGATCACAGCTAATTTGATAGATATCACGACACTTGCTACTTTTCATACCATGAACTATTTTCACCACTTCCTCACTTGACACAGGCCTCATCCTAAACAAAGCTGGCTCAAGGACAGAAGGTTTCAAGGCGAGCTGGGATGCTACAGCTACTGAAGGTGGAACTTGGTGACGGATGTCATCTATAGAGGCAACGAAGAAGTCAGAGAAAATCTGTGGTGTAAGCGAGTCTATAGTTGGCGAGATCACTCTGCTTTTACACTTGTTAATGAGCTCCCAGGCCCTTTTGCATTGATTGGATGCAGAAGCAATCGAATCAGCATTTGATTCTAGTTTAGCATGAGCAAGAGCTTTTTTGTAGCTGGTTTTAGCTTGTTTGTACCTTATCTTTGTCTCTTCAACCAGCACATTATACCTCTGGGCCCACTGCCAGAAGTCATATAACTTTGTTACCTCCTTACGTTTCTCAGATAATTCACGACTGAACCATTTAGCTTTGGATTTTTTACTAACATCTGTTGGTGTAATAGTTTTCTCAGGAAAGCAGACATCCATAGCATTCTTGAAGGTGGAGAAAAACTTGTTAAAATCATTAAAATTGCCCTCTAATTTCACATCCCAGTTTATGCTGCTTAAAGTTGATTTGAATAAGCTTGTATTATGTAAACTGAAACTTCTGATAACCTTGGAATTTTGCTGTTTATCATGGGCATTATTATTTGGGTTGAAATTATCCAAATTCAGGGTTGTTAATAGGGCATTATGATCTGACAGTGGGGGTGAGAGGACAGTGCTAGATATGTCACTCATAGGTATGTCAGTGAAGACATTGTCCAAGCAGGATAGTTCCCTGGTCGGCCTCTGATTAAGGCAATGGCAGTTTAAAGACCTAAGTACGTCCAGAAACTGTAGAGGAAGATCAGCCTTCGAGTTCACATCTATATTGAAATCTCCACATACAATTATAGGCAGATTAAGGCGGGACAGCTTTATAATGAGCCTGTCGATCCCCTCCAGAAATAGACGTTGGTTCCCATTAGGTACTCTATAAACAGAGACTATGATTACCTCAAGGGCTATGTTCACAAGAGTTACCCGAATACAAACACATTCAAAGTCATTTTCAATACAGAACTTGTTTACATCAATTTCACGGTAGTCTAGGCCAATTTTAGTATAAATAGCAACACCTCCTCTTTTTTTCACGGATCTACAGAACATAGCAGCACAAGTGAACCCATCAATCACAGCTAGGTCCTTATTTTCCTCTAAATACCAATGCTCACATACACAGAATACAGAAATATCATTTTGGTTTAATAATAACTCTACTTCATTTAATTTATCACCTAGAGACTGGGTGTTTGCTGAAAGAATATAAAATAATGCTCTGCTCTTCCTGCTGTCTTGAGATTTTACATTTTTTAGGTTTGGTTTGTTGGTAGTTTTCTTTTCCTTAAAAAATAATTGCTTTTAGTTGTGTTTTTACTGTTACTGGTAACTATAGCTTCTTTCTTCATTTTCTCTTCCATTCCGGATATTACATTATGCAGTTGTTGTACATTTTTGGTGTCTGGAGAGGAAAACCCCAGAAAAGAAGATGATGTAGAAAGTGCAACTGAACTATCATGCTGTAGGTTCTGGTGGATGGTCGGGCAAAGTGGTGGAGGGGTTTCAGAGACTTCCTTGACTAATGACTTTGTAACACAGATTCCTGAGCTGAAGGGGTTGCTGTTGTAATTAGTTATTATTTTCAATATCTCCTTGGATATGAACTTTTTACCATTTTTATTTACGTGTAATCCATGCCTGGTGTGATGGCGTCTCTCGAGAGTCCACAGGTCCAAGAGTTCTATGTGAGACTGGCTATACGCAAGTTGTCTAATAATCAGGTTGGCTTCCTTGATCAGATGGTTTTCTTGACTTGAAGCTCTCAAATCATACCTGTATGGTAGTTAGATAAGATGAGCTTTGTGTGTTTGAAGAGCAGAACAGCTTTGTCCAGCTCACTCTTGAATGATTGAAGGAATTGGCCAGGATTAGTAAGGGAATACATTGTGATGTCATTGGTACCTCCTACCAAGACGACAAAATCATTTGGAGACAACTCTTTGACTTCTTTGGATTTACTAGTAGTGTTTACAATGTAGCCTAAGGGAGCTCCAGGTTGACAGTTATTAGTAATACTAAAGTGTCTATTGCTTGCTTGATCAAGATGATTTGTGAGGTCCTTTCCATGGCTATCACTTAATATGATTATTTTTTTGTTTTTCCAGGTGTATAGGTATTGCTGGATATGTGTTTCTGTTATTGCCTGTATTTTTTACTTCTCTTGATGAAGTAGCTCTGTGAGTAGTCAAAGCAGCATCAGTTAAGCTGTTTGTGCTTTCATCCAAAACTTCAACACATTTACCATTCTGAGTGACACTATCCAACACCTCGAATCTATTTTTTGTTTTAAATGTTGTGCTTGAACTGAGTTTATGTTTAAAGGATCTTGCTCCTTTTTTGACAGTTTTCCATTTATCTTGTTTATTGATTGTTTTATTAGTGTCTCTAAGCGTGGTGGTTTGCTTGCCATTGCAACTAGATGTAGGTGGTTTGCTGACGGTGATATCACACTGGCTCAAATTGCACAATTCTCCATTAAACCATTCAACAAATGAGGCATTAGAAGACTTCTTGGTACAGTAGTGGAAGGCTATATATTTAGCATTAGCTAACACATGAATTCCACATTCAAAGGACTGTTTTTGTTGTATACATGATATATCTATGGTGTTTTTACTTTCAATACTAAGTTTGCTGGATACAATTTTTGCTGACGCACTGTTTGTTGGACCCAACGAATCCAAGTGGTATGCCTTCTTTTGTAACTTGTCAACAAATAGTAAGCTCCAATGTGAGCCAGTGTCTTCTTTTTTACAGTCATTACTGTTACTCAGACATAGAAGAATGTATTTACATTTGTCAAAAGAAGTCATAGCAAGGCTTTCGGATATAGTTTCTGCAGTTCCAAACTTTATAATTGCAGTTGCAGATGGGCCCAAAAACAACACTTCCTCAGAGTCAATGCAACTTGCCAATGCAGCGAAGTATTCATTTAATACAGAGTCATCTGTCCACTTCTCTTTCCCCCACTCACATTTGTTTTGCTTAAGCTCCAGAAACTCTGTTGATACTGCCTGCAGTTGAATATGCAACTTCGCATTGCTTGATGTTTTTTCCTTCAGTTTCTCCTCTAAGGATAAGTTTGACAATTTTAATTTGGTAATATTCTGTAACAAGTCTTTGTTTTCATGCAGTAAGACATTGTAGCTATTCACATTGGATCTGAGTTTTTCTTCAATACTTTTTATTTGTTTCTTTAGAAGAATATTTTCATCCTTTTCTTGTTCTTGTAAATGAAATGATTGATTTAGATCTTGCTCTCTTTGTCTTTTTTCTAATTCTAGTTTAGACTCCAAGATAGCAGTATCCCTCAGAGTCGAGTCAAGTTTATTTCTATTTTCTTCATTGTCCAAAAGAACACCGTCACAATGTTTGATTATTGATTCTAGGCTGGAAACAAGATCTTCAATTTTCACTTCAGGGTTATTGCATTTTATATTATTTATTTCCAAACATATTCTGGCTATATGTTCCTGCATTAGACTGTGACATTCGTTTGACTCAAATATTATTTCCTGTAATACTTCCATTTATATTATTGTCTTCTTCTATCATGTATTATATCAGTTAAAAAACCAGTTAAAATCAAATAAAATAAATTAACTGAAAAATATCATTAATAATCAAACAAACATGCTGTGTAGTAATTTTCTTCCTTTTTTCCTTGTGATTTGGAAATCAAAAATTTTACTGCCGTAACAAGATTTGAACCAGGGTCCTTCCGATTATCAGACCAATGCTTATCCAAATGAGCTAGCACACCTTGTTCCAGGAGGGTGGTCAGTACAGCATGACAACAGTACTTGCTCAGATCTTTTGGTCAGTGTACTGGTTATTGTTAGAACAGGTAATGTTTACTATCTTTGAGACCTAGTATGTAATTAAACAAAAATTGTTTAGTTGAAAAATCCAGTTTAATTTTTCTTCTCTTTGGGTTTAACTGTATTTGTATAAGTGAACAAGATAATTTAAAAACTGTAGTATTATTTTAATTGTAAAAATGTTAGCTTCACAGACCCTCTTTGAGAGGTTAGAATCACCACAAAGTTATTAACAAGTATTTCAGTATATGAATAAAAAAATTTTCTTGGAACTGATGATAAGATTAAAACTTGATGGTTAAATCTTACTTTTGATCAGGAGAACACCACTCTACTAAGCTTATTTAAGCATATATAGACTAAAAAACTGCACTGGATGAAGAAGTATGAACACAGCTTCAGACATTAACATAACCAAACTTTCTTCTGACCTTGGTCAAAAATATTGTCTCCAGTCATCCGAGTTGCATCAACTGTCCTCACGGCCTGCGTGAAGGCGCTAGAATAGGTCAAATACAAAATTTGATTAAATGATGTCTACATCAGTAGTTAAAACTAATAAAACTTAGTATGCTGTGAATCAGTAGTGGAAAAGGTCTTAGCTTTCCTTGCATCCATTCACTCCCCGCCAACACTGCCGTGCCAAGAACAAGGGCAAGCTTAAGCTTTGAAAAATTAAAATGGCCTCTATTTTAAAATTAAACAAAGTAGAAACTTGATGCTTTGTGAAAAGATAGTTCCTATTAGTCATCATGCACGTACCAAGTTTGAAGTTGGTACCTTTAGTGGTTCCAAAGTTATGTAAAAAATACATACACACCACCAGACGGAAAACGAAGAAAGATAAGGCATATGTTTATATGATAACATCACCATGGAGTTTTGGGAGAGAGTTTTGAAACACCCTGTATTATCATAGTGTAGCACAACATGTAGGCTATTGATTTTTGGCAGATCCAAACCACAGTAAAGTTGGCCAACCAGAACCAGACTAAGTTGAATGTGAGAAAAGGATATTTTTGAAGCAGTTTGAAGAGGCCAGTTCCCACCGCCATGGGAATGCCCATGATGATGGACTCAGACACTCCGGAGATGACATCAGTCTGGCCGTGGTACGCTGCATCAAACAGATGATCTGCCGTCTTCTCAAACTGTTCAACACAACAACAACAAACTCATAACTAATATATTTCATTATTCAATGGTCAGTGTTATTTACAGAGACAAATAAGATAATAATTACAAAAGGAAAGCAAAACAAACTTCAAGAATAAGTAAATCGAAACTTCAAGAATAAGTAAATCGGTGTGATTCTTCTTACCTTTTTTGGATACTTCTTCATTTGTCAGACTAAGTTAAATGAAAAATAAAATTATTAAGAGTAGTATACGTTACTAATAAATAACTTTTACAAAATCCGAAATATCTCTGGTCAAATAGCCTGTAAAAACTACAAAGAATGTAAAGAAACAGTCAGCGCTGTGTTGTGTAAGCCTAGACAAGCTAAACTGCCTGATAAAATGGTAGTTGTTTTTTTGTGTTATGCATTATCTGAATTAAAGCCCCAAAGTTGTACCACTGAACCTTACGTAAATTGGATTTTGTGGTTGATACATTAACCTAACATGCTGTGTTAACTTAGTAGTTTAAGCCACTGTAGTTTTTAGTTTTAGCCCCATTAGTTCAAATCTGGACTAAAATGTTTCTATTTAATCATTATGTAATTTTGGTTTTGTTTACGAAACTAAACAAAGAAACAATAAAAATTTTAATTAATAACTGAACTATATAATTGTTCGGTTACCAACAGTATTTGCTTACAGAGGCAAGGTTGAGCACAGACTCCTTCATCTTGGCCAGTCCGTGGCGAGTGATGCCAAGAACCTCACCTCGGGAGGTCATCAGGTCGGCCACCAACATCGGGTGACGAGGGTCAATACTCATCCCGTGGTTCTCCATCACCAACTTGATCTCCGACATTATGGTCGACCTACAACAGCAAACAAGTGTTGGTAAATCACTTTCAGTACAGGTTAAAAATGAAACTTCTCACTGTAGAACAAATGACTATTCCTGTTTAAATTTAGACTGGTTGACAGGAACAGCTGAGTTGAATTATAGAAATAAATGGTAATTAGCACAGGCACTAGTGGACAAATGGAGAACTGACTGAGAGCAAGGGGAGATCAGCTGATTGTTTTCCCTTGCTATAAATTAGAGCTTGGAAAACAATTACTTTCTTTTGGTATTAACTGTTATCGAAAATAACTGCTTTGTGAACAAGAGTGCTAAAATAGCTAGTTGTGTATTAAGAGTGCAAAGTACGTAATTGCCGTTTGAAAACTGTAGATGGTTGAGTGCAGCCATACATTTCAAGAGCGGCAATGACTGTGCTCATAATTCACACAAGATTTTTCTTACCACCATTAACTTAACATAACACACAGATCAACTTAATTAATTGTCATTTAGGATAAGTTTCCTTTTTTAAGGTTATGTAATTTCAATTTACTTACCGGATGTTAGTGTTTTATAGAAATGCAAACTGTGAAATCAGCTGATTTAGCAAGCAAGATGGGAGAGAATGAATGAGCTATTTTGCCTACTGTTTACAGGTTAGGTGTTGCAATGTGATCGTTTCCATGCAGTGGTACGTAATTTCTATCACTGGGTGGTTGAGCAGTCTAATTCGAGGGAAAACTTAGAGCGTAATTTTTATTTCTTTAATTGCCTTTTTTGTTTTAGATTTCAAAAATCGTTGATCAGTAAGAAATTTCTTCTCTACCTACCTAGCAGCCTCTATGCCCAGTGTCTGATAGACTTGGTAGGTGTTGTTGGACCAGCACTGAGTGCCTTTCACACCTTGAGTAGCCATCACATCACGTAGGTTGTCTCCTTCTACTAGGAGCTTGTAACGAGTCACTCCTCCGGAATCATCCTCGTGGATCACTGCTCGGTTTACTGAAGGGACTCCCTGTCCAAAATCAAAATAGTTAGTGCATAAAACAAACAACATTATACATAGTGACAATTAAAAAAAAAATAATTGTAAATAGTAGTTGAAAGATAGAGATGTGAGGGGGCTGGATTTTAAAGCCAAGTTGCTCCAAGTCTTGCCTAAAAGTTTGAGTAATCAAAGTTAGGAATCAAGTCAGTTCAAAAGCTCTGCTCAATAGTAAATTTTAGGCTCACACGCCTCTATTGTAAGAGTAACTTTTGTTTAACTAATTATCAGTGGCATGAAATCCTTTTCTACAATTTAAAGTTTTCTTTTCATCAACGCTTCCTTGTGAGTAAATTTAGAGGAAAGCCACACAACAAAATTTCAATGGATAGCTAGAACGTAGCTAACTCAAGCATACAATACATATGGTCACACTACTTTATATATTGAATAGGATTAACAAAGCAGGTTATAAGTTTGGTAAACTCTTTTTTTATCTGTTCATTGTGATACACAGGTTTTACTTTTCATATTTGTCTCACCTTGATGACAACTTTAGGAATGTTCTCTTTGAGGTAGCTGAGCATAGCATCAAGACCCATAGTCTTCTGAGATGTGGCTTGTATAGTGAGAATAGAAGGGCCTTGCACCTGTACTTGGTGAGGTTTCACCTTCATACGTGACGTACAAATACTACAACACACAACACGGTTACAACATATCTCACAAACCCGCTCACTTACCAATGGATAGGTTATACATGACAGTTAAAGATCAAAACTAAAATCATTTCTAGCTGGAGTAAACCTAAATTATACTCCATTCAAAATATTTTGGCGGTTTTAGGGGAAGAAATCTATTCCCTCCACTTAGTCCTCATAACTGTAAAACAATAGCTCAACAGCTGAAGATTGCTGCAACATAAATAATGTTTAATGTTTTTATGTTTTGTATATATGTTGGTGTGAGCGTATTTAATGTTTTGACAACCTCATCAAGGGTGAAGTTTGATGTTCTTGACTAGGGTCTGAAGAAGGCGACATAGTCACCGAAACAATCGTCATCCCTTAGAGGAGGTATATAAGAGTCACAAGACAATAATAAGGTAAATTAACCTCTTATTTATATATATAGGCTATAATAAGCAAAAACAAGTGGTGGGGGTACTTCCCCTCAAACCGCCTAAATTTTGTGAATGGAGTATAGCAACTTTCCAACTGAAATTTACTACGGATTAACCAATAATTAAACTAAGTTTTAATATCTCTTGCATCTTTGATTACTTTTTAATTACAACACAACTCATTAAAAGAGAAAAAAAACCCACAGTGACTGATGCGCTTAAGGTTCACACAATTATCAGAGACAATCTATAAAACAGTTTCAAAAGTTATAAATTTTCTGAAACTAAATACTAGGTTCACTAGTATTAGGGGGGGTATTAGGTTGGTAGTAGGTAAATACTAGTGTGGTGTTGTCCATTGTGTAGAGTACCTGTATCTGACGGAGTCAGCGTCTACCTCCAGTTTTAACAGCCTGATTCTCTCCAAGTCCAGCTTGATCAGAAGGAAGCTGTCGTAGGGAAGGTACACTTCCTCCATGTACTCACACACCTATCACAACAGACCTTGTAGTAATGCATACTATCATAAAATCAAGGTTAAGGATGTTACATAGAGAACAAGGGCCTAGGTTTTTAAGATTTTTTGTCAGGATAGCAGATTTACCTGAATAATGGTCCAATCTGACACAAAGGCACAAGACTTGGCCATTTTGTGTACAAAATCACTATGTACACAAAACTTAAAATAATTCACTGTCACTGACAGCATTTTCAACAAAAGAAGAGAGTTAAATATTCTCTCTCTTCCATAGATAAAAATGCTGTCAGTGACAGTGAAATATAATGAAAAGTGTTGTGTATATAAAGGGGGGGGTGTATAAGGGGGGGGTGTATAGGGGGGGGGGGGGTGTATATAAGGGGTTAGGGTGTTGTGTAGTGTAAAGTCTTGTATCTCTTGTGCCAAATTGGGCATTTCCCATTCAGGTAAGTCTGCTACCCTTACAAAAATAATCTTATAAAAATCAATTAGCTAATACAATAGCTAATACAATTAGCTAATGAATCGCCTGGAACCAACAAATTTTAACAGGTTGATGTGGAAAAGATTTGTATTTTACGTAATGGACATCAAGAGAAGAAGATAAAAGATGAATCAAGGTTCCTTACCTCACCCAGCACAGTTTTCTCAATACGACCCTTGACTCTGCGCGCAAACTCGGGATCCGTGTCGTTCTCCAGATGTGCCGTGATGATGGGAGTGCTGATGTTCTTGGCTGCGTTGATGATTTCTTTGATACTAAAATAAATCAGTTGACCAAGGTTAAACACTGAAGGTTAACTGGATTTTAAATTTTAAAACGAGAAGACAACCAAAGTAGTCAATTATTTGTTATTTATGCAACATCAAATGTTATATTGACTAATTTTAAGTTTCTGTCAATTTATTCTGTATATAATAGCATTTACTTAAGATACTGAAGCAGAAATCCCATCTACATATACCAGGATACTTTTGTATTGGCCACCCTTATACAGCGCGCTGCGGCGGTTATGTTAGGTTCGGTTATCATAAATATGTTTGTAGGACTTTCCTCGTTTTGTAATGAAATAAACGATACGAGATGAGTCATACTTTCTCCTGCTAAATCCCCTCCAAATAGGCTAAGGTCACGTCGTTGACTGGAGCACTTGCATCACCTGTCACCGCGCCTGTATCTGGTTCAGTGTCCTGAGTGATGACTCATCTGGTATCATTCGATTCACAAGAAACGAGGAAAGTCCTACAAACATATTTATGATAACCTAACCTAACATAACCGCCTCAGCACGCTGTCAGCACGCTACTTGGCGGAGTACATGTGGCAGTTAGTGGCGGCGATGCATTCAACTCAATTCTCGCCGACATCGCTGCCTTCTGGGAGGCAGAACTCAAAGGTTGCTAATCGTAATCATGTCAAATTTGGACATTAAGTCAATTAAGTATGTTCTTTTCAATTATGTAGTTATTTTTGGTCTCTGGTAAAAAATCCTTCTGAAATAAATGACCTCAGTATAATAAGAAAGTACCTAGACCAGTTGTGGCCAACTCATTAAAATAGAACATCGAATGAACCTTTTAGAGTTTGCTGCAATCTAAAGTTCCAATTATTCCTTTGGTTTTTGTGTTATTGTTGATGTGACACAAGTTCCGTAGGTTAAAATAAGTTATTCTATCAGTTTGGCTTGGTTACAGAACTGCATTATTCAACATAACTCTGTAATTTACACCAGCAAATTCTATTGATGGCTTCATTCAACTAAGTTGATTTTTACATTAAAACTGACTTTAACTTAAAATGGGAACGTAATGTCTAGTTCAAATCATACTCAAAGATAATAGCCGCAGCGAACAAACTTACAAAAACAATCAAAGCTTATGACTATTTATTACATAAATATCCCTAGTGATAAGCAAAAGTTACTTATCGCATTGTAGAAACAGCTGATTGAAAATAAGTTACACAGCTGTGATTACAAAAGTGATCAGTTACCGAGGCACTCCCTGTGTAATGTTCATGCTGGCCACACCAGCAAAGTGGAAGGTCTTGAGAGTCATCTGGGTGCCTGGCTCTCCTATACTCTGAGCTGCCAAGGCTCCCACAGCAGTGCCTGTAAGATAGAACAGTTATGTAAAGGGAACACTTAACATTTTAAGTCTTATAGCAATTTTGTAGTATTTAAAAACAAGAAAAAGAGAGCTTTTGATGAAAAAAATATATTATAAGAGGGTTTAGCATTATGCTCAATATTACTACAGTACAAATATCTATCACTAATTACCGGTACCAAAACCATACGAATAATCAAAACTCCAGATCGCATCTTCAAAGGAAAAAGGTATTTGAAATGGTAGAAGATAGTAGCACTAGACAGATGACCGCATGATGATCAATACAACACTACAGTAGACTCACCTCATGATGGACACAATATGAAAAAGATTACTGCAAACTTCAAATAACTTCAAAATAAACCACAGCAAAAATGTATTTAGTTTATGTTTATTTAATGCCGACACAACTTGGTATGTATATTATGGTGAAGATGAGTGTTGAAGGAAGTGACAGCCTAGTTACTAAGATCAGCTGATTCAATAAGAATAAGAATAAGAAACATTTATTCCATTGATCTTTTTACAAAGAAATAGGACACATCATATACCGGTACATTACAAAATAATCATCTAAATACAATTAAGTTTCTGATACATCCAAATATTATAAAAAGTACAATTAATTAGGTACAATAGCTTATTTTAATTAAAATTTAACATCAAAATTACACTTGATAAAGTCACTTATGCTGTAGAAAGGATTTTGAATTGGCCAATTATAAATTCTATTTTTGGAAATATTGTAATCAACAAATTTTGCACTGTCAGGTAGTTTATTAAAAAAGCGAATTGAGTTAATTTTGAAGGAGTCACCCGTTTTAGCCAGTCTATGAGGTTTCATGCTGAGCTTGCCTCCACCCCTAGTGTTGTACTCATGAGTGTCAGATCTAAGGGGGAAAGACCGCAAGTTTGACTTGGTGTAGAGTAATACTTGAAAAATGTACAAATTAATTACTGTTGGAATTTTTAATTGTATGAAAAGAGGTTTAAAAAGGGTAGGTAAGAAAAAGAGGAATAGCCAGTACTATAATCTCAATGATCAAGAACAGCTGTGTCAAGTTTCCATCAACAAGCTAGTGACTTTTCTCAGGATCAAATGAGTGATCTACTGTGAATTACTGAGTGACAAATTTACAGTGCAAACAAAATATTCACTATTTCGTAATTTGAGAAAGTAAAGGTCCTTGTTATCTGTGAACGTTAATTTCTCACCAGGTTCGATTTTAGCGTTCATGAACTTTGTCTGGCAGGTGTCAAAGAACTGCACCAGCTGTGAGACTGTCAGTCTCTCTAACTCTTTCACCACCTTGACATCTTCCCTGCCTTTTGTCTGATGTACGAGACGACGAGCAACACCATACATGAAGTCTCTACCACAAACACAACTCACTGTTAGAACTAATAACTTTAATACTAAAATAAATCTTTGAAAGATATATAGGCCCTTCTGTTTTACGTCAAATTACAAGGAAATTTTATTTCATGATCTCTCAGCAATCAATGTTATTATTCTATGACATTTTAGCAATCAATAATACATGCAGGGACTAAGAGTAATTACTTTGTTGGTGGGTTGTGCTGTAAAACTTTGAATCAAAATCCCAGACATAAACACCCAGCAGAAAAGGAAAGAAAAATAAACTAAGGAGGGGAATGCAGAAAAAGTTTGACACTTGATTCTTATTTTTAGTAAATAAAAATTAACTGACTTACTTTAGCTCGGTCTTGAATTCGTCACTGCAGCCTACCAGGTCCTCAGTAGACTTGATGAGCTCATCAGTGGCTTGAATGATCTGAGTAGCTGTGAGTGCTTCCTCATCTCTACTGGGGAACACAGCCCTCACATGATCTAACACTCTGCGCAGTTCCACCGGACACCCGTTACCTGTCAAACAACAGTTACATGAGCTCATCAGTGGCTTGGATGATCTGTGTAGCTGTGAGTGCTTCCTCATCTCTACTGGGGAACACAGCCCTCACATGATCTAACACTCTGCGCAGTTCCACCGGACACCCGTTACCTGTCAAACAACAGTTACATGAGCTCATCACTGGCTTGGATGATCTGTGTAGCTGTGAGTGCTTCCTCATCTCTACTGGGGAACACAGACCTCACATGATCTAGCACTCTGCGCAGTTCTACCGGACACCCGTTACCTGTCATACAACAGTTAGATGAGCTCATCACTGGCTTGGATGATCTGTGTAGCTGTGAGTGCTTCCTCATCTCTACTGGGGAACACAGACCTCACATGATCTAGCACTCTGCGCAGTTCCACCGGACACCCGTTACCTGTCAAACAACAGTTACATGAGCTCATCACTGGCTTGGATGATCTGTGTAGCTGTGAGTGCTTCCTCATCTCTACTGGGGAACACAGCCCTCACATGATCTAACACTCTGCGCAGTTCTACCGGACACCCGTTACCTGTCAAACAACAGTTACATGAGCTCATCACTGGCTTGGATGATCTGTGTAGCTGTGAGTGCTTCCTCATCTCTACTGGGGAACACAGCCCTCACATGATCTAACACTCTGCGCAGTTCTACCGGACACCCGTTACCTGTCAAACAACAGTTACATGAGCTCATCACTGGCTTGGATGATCTGTGTAGCTGTGAGTGCTTCCTCATCTCTACTGGGGAACACAGCCCTCACATGATCTAACACTCTGCGCAGTTCTACCGGACACCCGTTACCTGTCAAACAACAGTTACATGAGCTCATCACTGGCTTGGATGATCTGTGTAGCTGTGAGTGCTTCCTCATCTCTACTGGGGAACACAGCCCTCACATGATCTAACACTCTGCGCAGTTCTACCGGACACCCGTTACCTGTCAAACAACAGTTACATGAGCTCATCACTGGCTTGGATGATCTGTGTAGCTGTGAGTGCTTCCTCATCTCTACTGGGGAACACAGCCCTCACATGATCTAACACTCTGCGCAGTTCTACCGGACACCCGTTACCTGTCAAACAACAGTTACATGAGCTCATCAGTGGGTTGGATGATCTGTGTAGCTGTGAGTGCTTCCTCATCTCTACTGGGGAACACAGCCCTCACATGATCTAACACTCTGCGCAGTTCCACCGGACACCCGTTACCTGTCAAATAACAGTTACATGAGCTCATCACTGGCTTGGATGATCTGTGTAGCTCTGAGTGCTTCCTCATCTCTACTGGGGAACACAGCCCTCACATGATCTAACACTCTGCGCAGTTCTACCGGACACCCGTTACCTGTCAAACAACAGTTACATGAGCTCATCACTGGCTTGGATGATCTGTGTAGCTGTGAGTGCTTCCTCATCTCTACTGGGGAACACAGACCTCACATGATCTAACACTCTGCGCAGTTCTACCGGACACCCGTTACCTGTCAAACAACAGTTACATGAGCTCATCACTGGCTTGGATGATCTGTGTAGCTGTGAGTGCTTCCTCATCTCTACTGGGGAACACAGCCCTCACATGATCTAACACTCTGCGCAGTTCTACCGGACACCCGTTACCTGTCAAACAACAGTTAGATGAGCTCATCAGTGGCTTGGATGATCTGTGTAGCTGTGAGTGCTTCCTCATCTCTACTGGGGAACACAGCCCTCACATGATCTAACACTCTGCGCAGTTCCACCGGACACCCGTTACCTGTCAAATAACAGTTACATGAGCTCATCAGTGGCTTGGATGATCTGTGTAGCTGTGAGTGCTTCCTCATCTCTACTGGGGAACACAGCCCTCACATGATCTAACACTCTGCGCAGTTCCACCGGACACCCGTTACCTGTCATACAACAGTTACATGAGCTCATCAGTGGCTTGGATAATCTGTGTAGCTGTGAGTGCTTCCTCATCTCTACTGGGGAACACAGCCCTCACATGATCTAACACTCTGCGCAGTTCCACCGGACACCCGTTACCTGTCAAATAATAGTTACATGAGCTCATCATTAGCTTGGGAGATCAATTACCGAACTCTTACTCTATCAAGTATTTATAAGTGCAGTATTTATATTTGGTCAGGATTACAATTAGTTAGTGATTTTCTCTAACAGGTTTTTTTTCCAACTGTCAGCAATTTTTCCTTGACAGCAAGTGACGATGATAATCTCTTGTGATTTTGGGAGATGTTCACCATTTTGCTGTTATGGCAGAATACAATGAGGATGTGTCTGCAACTGCATAATATATTCAACTATTGCGGAAAATCACAGGATATGTTTGTCGCCATTGTGGGTAACAATGTTGATATATAGCTGTGATTAAGGGAAATGTTCACGGTTCCGAGTATTCCAGTTCCAGTATGGCAGGTGAAGATGAATATAAATATGTGATTGTGGGGTATGTTGAGGATTTTGCCACTATTGCAGGAAACAACAATGATGTCTCCGTTATCGCTGGAGAGGTTTACAATTTTGTCACTATTACAGAAGATGATGATGTCTCTGCTTTGGTTGGAGATGTTGCTGTTGGTTACAAAGTAGCTGCAATTTTGTGAGTAATTCACAATTTCACTATTGGGTGGTGGCAATGACGATGTGTCTGCAACAGTAGTCCCGTGATCACGGTTTCCAGTCATGATGATATAGAACAGTGCAATAAAGAATGAAAATTTATTTTTGTCTTTATTGCCATTTGAAAAGATTTTTACTCATGATTTTTAAACAAACTGAAGTTTCTCTTTTGCACGGGAAGAAAAATCCCGTCATGTCCCTAACTAAAACTACAATCCCGTGCATCCCTACGGACATCAATCAATTTTCTTCATTCAAGCCATGTTCTATGTTGTGTGCTACAGTACTTAAGTTGGGAGATGCTATCTAAAGATTGTGATTTTAATTTTAATACTAGTAACATGAAAGAATTTATGTGAAGATGCTAATGTATAAATATATTTAATATTCAAAGGCTAATATTTTAGTACTTACCTTCCATATAAGTAGGATCTAGGCCGTCTCCTCCATACAAGAATTGAATAATGTCACTAGAGGAGTTACGGACAGTCAAGTCGTAGTGCAAACAGAGATCTTCTAAAGACTGTAACAGGAAATGTTGACACTGTAGAACATAAATAATATAATTTCAAAATTAACCAATATTAAGAGTAAAGACGTAGAAATACCGCTAAAATTGAGTTATTAGATAGTGATAGATACCAGGTCGCAGGTCATTTTCTGTGACTTGAGTTAGCCTACTGCCAAAACAACTCAATCTCTCCTAAGCATACTCGGAAGATTTATCAATGTAAAAAGCCCTTAAATTACTTTTTCAATACAATTAACACAGGGACATAACTGGGTGTGTTTTAAACCCAAATATGAGTATAGTAGACTGCAGTAGGATGCATTTTGTAGCTTTGTTACAAACTAAGAACTGCTATTCCTTTAGCAAGGGTATTTGATTAAAAACCAAATGATCAAGGTCAGCTGCGTCCAATTAAAAAACCATTAAAATGCTATTGGTTCCGGATAATTGAATGCACCAGATTATACCGGTGCTTAGACTTTTCCTGACAATACTGCACACCTTGACCAGACGACGCTGCATGTAGCCAGTCTCGGCAGTCTTGATAGCTGTGTCTACCAGACCCTCCCTGCCTCTCATCGTGTGGAAGAAGAACTCTGTGGGAGTGAGGCCTGAGTAGAAACTGTTACTGAAACACTATGCTCACCTTGACCAGACGACACTGCATGTAGCCAGTCTCGGCAGTCTTGATAGTTGTGTCTACCAGACCCTCCCTGCCTCCCATTGTGTGGAAGAAGAACTCAGTGGGAGGGAGGCCTGAGTAGAAACTGTTACTGAAACACTGCTCACCTTGACTAGACGACGCTGCATGTAACCAGTCTCGGCTGTTTTTTACAGCTGTGTCTACCAGACCCTCCCTGCCTAACATTGTGTGGAAGAAGAACTCAGTGGGAGTGAGGCCTGAGTAGAAACTGTTACTGAAACACTGCTCACCTTGACTAGACAACGCTGCATGTAGCCAGTCTCGGCAGTCTTGACAGCTGTGTCTACCAGACCCTCCCTGCCTCCCATTGTGTGGAAGAAGAACTCAGTCGGAGTGAGGTCTGAGTAGAAACTGTTACTGAAACACTGCTCACCTTGACTAGACGACGCTGCATGTAGCCAGTCTCGGCTGTCTTGACAGCTGTGTCTACCAGACCCTCCCTGCCTCCCATTGTGTGGAAGAAGAACTCAGTCGGAGTGAGGTCTGAGTAGAAACTGTTACTGAAACACTGCTCACCTTGACTAGACGACGCTGCATGTAGCCAGTCTCGGCTGTCTTGACAGCTGTGTCTACCAGACCCTCCCTGCCTCCCATTGTGTGGAAGAAGAACTCAGTAGGAGTGAGGCCTGAGTAGAAACTGTTCTCTACAAACCCTTTAGCTGCTGGTATTTTGGCTACAAACAATACATTAGGATTAACAATTTGGAATTAAATGAATGTGTCAAGATAAATTACAAAATTGTAGATCAACTGTGTTGCAGTTTGTTATTGTTATTCCAAACTAATTGATTTTTTTGTCAAGGGAACAGTCCAAACTATAGCCTTGTTACCCTCTTACGACGATTTTTTGTTAGGAAGCATCTATCTATATATTAATAGGCAAGCATGTTTCTTTAGAACCTTTTTTCTCTGCTCGTATGTTTCACATGTAAAATCTAGGCATACTGTTAGAAAGATATATTATCAAACGATTCAAAGGTTCGATCAGTCGGTCGTCAATTTTTAGCCGTGCACGTGCCTTAATGTTTTCGTGTCGTGTCCGTGTCTTGTGTTGCATGTACTATTTATTAAACTTTGACACTATGAAAATGAAGAAACCATGTAAAAAATGTAAATATGTAAATAGTTCAGTTTAGTGTATGATGACTACGCACCCGACGATGGAGTTATCTCCGAAACGGCCATAGTGCTCAATTTACAGGATTGCGAAGACAGTAAGTAGCCTTTATATATTTATCACACGCAATTTGCCACACTGAATAATCTTGAAATTTTTTATAAATTAGTTTCTAAGCAGGTTTGCTGTGGCGGGGGTATTTACTAACAAAATGTGTTACTTTACACAAAATTCAAAAAGATAATGTTCCAGAAAAGCTTTTCCAACCATAAGGTATTGTAACTTTAATTAGGGTATTGTATGATACTTTTACAATTTGATATACTCACAATGGCGTTCAAAGTGCGGAAGGGCTCTGTCCTCAAACCCATTGGGGGCTCTCTTGCCACTGATAGCCTGCTGGCCGACACACGCAATCATCTGGGAAATGTTGATGAATGATCCTGCACAGTAAATATTCCTTCATCTTGCGGACAAGTAATAATGTTGAATATAGTCTATTTACCTCGAGTGTGTAAAATGTGGTTTGAGTACTTACAACATTTATCAAGAAACATGAGATACTTAAATATAAGTTCAACTTTGTAATAAAGTGAAGATCTGATAAAAGTCTCAATTAGTACTTTTGGAAAAAGGTTTCTGCATTTAAGGACGGCTACCTGAGTTATTCAAATCATGATATCTAGACAGTGTAATCATTCAAAACTAAATTAATGTGATTGAATTAGAATTCAATAGTCAATACTTAAAAGTTGTATGTCACAGTCAGGTTGTGATTAACGTTTAATATCAAACAATAAAACAGAACGAGATGTTTGATTTGAGGTAGTATTTCATATAATAATAGCAAAACATTATCCATCAAAAACATCGTAGCAGCACAATTTTGAATTTTAAGTTTAAATTATTTTGCCAACAACAATATAATATTTCAGTATTACAAAACAAATTATAAAAATTAGCAAACCTTTAGAGCCACTGAGGGCCATGACGAGTGGACTGTTTGTAGGGTGGAGCTCCTTTAGACAAGCTTTACCTGCGTGGTCTCGGATCACAGAGAGCTCCTTGAGTATCACAGCTTCTAGTGTCTCCTCCGCAGAACAACCAGGCTGACACTGCAGACGTCCCTCCTTCATACGAGATATGTACTCATCACACTTGGTGTACCTGTATATAGAACAGAGAAATCTGCTTCAACTTCATTCCAATGAAATCAATTCCATTCAGACATCTCTTACCTTCTTAATTGCAAAGTACCACAAAGTATGGTGGAAGAAAAGACTACTGTTCACAGAGGAGTGCAGCGAAAACAAGCGCATACAGACCATTTGCCCAGCGGAGCCTTTATAACAGGGTGCAAAAGAACCCTGAAATTAGTCATGGCTCTGTCGTCGAGACTCGAGGAAGTTGGTCGTCGCTCCCTCATCGAGGCTTGCGTTGTCAGTTGTTGCTTGGTCCCGAAATGAGTCAGTTTTCGCTCCGCCGTTGAGACGCGCAATGGGAGAAACGCCAATGCAATAAGCTCTGGTAAGTATTCTAACTGCTACAGTATTCCAAGCAATTCAATTCAAATACCTGCAAAAGAGATCCAAGCTATCTGTGGATGGCGATGATGAATGTATTCAGCTTAAGAACTGGTTGAATCTTTTTTTTACCAGAACTGCATCGGCTCTTTGGAACATTTATTGATCTGAGTCAACTATCTCGTTTTCTAAAACCGAATACCGATTTCAGACCCCTGGAAAGATCCCAGTACATGACTGAAGTCAACACATAATATGTATCATTAACTCAAGACAATATTTTTATGAATTCTTATGGATGAAATTGAAATTATTTTATTTGTAATTTACACAGTCCTAAAAATACAAGTAACCCCACAATGGTTCCACTTTATCACAGTATCTAGGTACGAACCCCTGGTTGAGGAGTCTCTGCTTGGCTCGCAGCAAGCCTGTCCCTGGAGTGACATCTCCGATACCAATACTGAACCCTCGGTCCATCAGGTATTTGGAGGCCAGTCTCGCCAGTCGCCACATGGCTGTCGTCGCTATACTCTCCCCCCAGTCCCGCAGCAGCACGTAAAATATGTTGTTCTTGCCTCCAGACCCTAATGTTGACTTGTCCATGGCTCCTGTTAGCAGCTCGGAGTTACGAATCACCAAAACTGAAACATTTAACTATTGACTTTCTGAAGTGCAAACAACAAATAAGCAGTAAATACACTAATAGGGCTAGGTTCCAATTGCTTTGGGATCAAAAAGATTTGTTTGGGTCTAGCTACTGTAATGGCAGAGGTCAAATTGTAAAGAGGAACTGTTTGGCAATGTTGTGTGAGTAGGCTGGAAGTGTTATAAAAGAATAAATTACTTCAAGTAGACCAGTGTGAGTGCACTTGATCTGGGGTTCAGGTTGTTTTGTAGCTCTTATGTGGTGAGTTTGGAGGTCTAACTCCTGCCAGAAGAGCTGGAGCCAAGCTCTTTGGCCTCCAGAGGTTACATAAAATAGAGGTTTTTATTTTTTTTTATTTTTTATTGGGGTTTATTTTCTGTTTTTACTAAGTGATTAACACTGTTCCTGTCTACTCTACCTATTGATTTTATTATTCTTTGTATTCTTTGTATGATTTATGGGTTAGGCTAACAGTAAAGTAGTGTTATAAGAAAGTGACGATTTTAATTTCTAAGCACTACAACATTGGTATTTTTTTTTTTTTTTTTGGGAATGGCAAAATCTTGGCCTTGTTACTATTTAACATCTACCTTTGAATAGATAGTATCATTAATTGATTGCCCAATGACTGGGTCCAGAATTTATTTCGCTTGGAATCAATCCAGCGACCTTCAGATTTGATGGTGAACCCTGTAACCACTCGGCTACAAAGACAAGTTTGTGCAAGTAGTTACAGTTTGATAAGGACTGTGAAATAAATAATGTTCTCATTATCTACTAGTCATAGGTAAACTGTTGACTTACAGGAATCTCTGACGCAAAGGTCCTCGTCAGATGTGTAAGCTCGTCCTTTGGTGCGGAGATTAGCCTTGACAGGACATGACTTGTTGGGCTTCAGTATCAATCCAAACACCTGCTTGCCTGTCCACATCACTTGGGGCTGCACACACAATAACATCACTGATCACAGTACAAGAAGAATAATTATCTTCACATTTTTACTAAAAGATTGTTTGGAAAAGTGTATGTTGGGTTCCACTTAAAGGTGATTTGACCTTTAAACTTTGTTTCATATATATATATTTTATAAATGCTAAAGAGATCTAGGCTAAAGGTAAAAAATAAATTGTGTAGTTTGATAGTGATTAATCATAATGCAGATTTTGAAGCATTTGAACCATTGAATAAATTATAGAATTTGGCAGTGATGGTACAGTAAAATCTCGTTAAGCTGGACCTACTGGGAGTGCGGCTTAATGAACGTAATCAAATTCTTGTTAGCTGGAGAAAGAGCATAAAGAAATAAAAAAATTCAAATATAAGTTACAAACAACAATATCCTTTATTTCAGTGAAACACTTTTAAATTGTTTACACAAGGACAACGACTCACCGCACGTACAGTAGTGAGTGAGTTACCTTGCGAATGGCAGGAGGAGGTAGGTCTATGTTCATGTGCGTGTCAGAACCCGCCAGCAATGTGGCCGCTAGTTGACACACCTCAGCCCTGGTCAGGAAGTTGTCCCTCTGAGTCAACAAGTACGCTCCTGTGATGAAGTCCTGTGTCGCAGCAATCAGTAGTTCGCCATTGCGCGGCGTCACCAAGTTGGACTTGTTCTGCCATCAGACCAATACAATTACTTATTGTGGATATAGCCTCCGGATTGCCAAATAATATTAAAAAGGTTTAAATACCTGCTATCAAGCAATCCATTTAATTGCAGTTGCAACTAGTATCGACTCCTATGTGGAGTCATCATCAGGCGGTACAAGGACTTCTTCTTTCTTCATATGAAGAGCGTCATATTTAACACGTAAAAATAAATAAGTCGTGTGTAAGTGTTTATTTATTTTTACGTGTTAAATATGACGCTCTTCATATGAAGAAAGAAGAAGTCCTTGTACCGCCTGATGATGACTCCACATAGGAGTCGATACTAGTTGCAACTGCAATTAAATGGATTGCTTGATAGCAGGTATTTAAACCTTTTAAATTACTTACTTTGTCACAACCAACACACAACGTGTACATAGAATAGTTTCAACATGGTCTAATCCTTCAACTGGAAAAATATCTAACAAATATATAATTTTTAAGAGCAACGTGATGTTCATTGTACAACAGTGGTTGCCAAACTATGCTTTTTACCTACAAGACAGAGATAGTAACCAGCACAAACATGAATTCATAGCTCACCCTCAAATAGAATTGAATGTTGAAAATACACTCAATTGCGACTTGAAATAGAACTTGTAATCAATTATATCTTGTTGATGTGTATTTACATGGATGAATAGCATATTTAAAAAGGTATATTTTGTTTACGAACCCCCATGAGCACTAACGCCTCAGCTCGAGCCTCCTCTGTCTGTGGAAGGTGAAGATTCATTTCATCTCCGTCAAAGTCTGCATTGTACGGCGTACACACACACTCATTGAACCTGCATCAATAATTACTTTTATTACATACACAAATCATACATAATAATACAGTCAACTAAAAAATTAGTTCAAGTCTCGCCGCCCCAGTGCGAGCGAGCCCCATAACTCGGCTTGTCGGCAGCATGAGAGACTAGAACATAGGTATGAATGGCAAAAGAAAGTTTAATTTTATTCAAACCGAAAACGTTGACGTTAAACAAACAAAGACCTTGGGATCCAGTGCTTGGGTCCATCGTGTCAATATCCGTTTGTCACATTTTCAGAGATTCTCAGGCAGACGTCTAGGGTCGAGTGGATTAACAATTTGAGTACTAAACAAGTATAAAATTATTTTAGCCAGACTTTTTTGTTATGAAATTTCAATAAGACTCAATAAGACTCAATAAGAATTTATTAATGCCATTAAACTTAGTACAGTAATAGGCAACGTCAAACAGTACAACAAATAGGGTTGTATGTAGCATTTTTGAGTGTTTCAACTTAGATACTACTTTATCCACATGACATTGATGGCTTAACTTACAAGTTTAAAAAATCTTCTACAGTGTAAAAGGCATTTGTTTTTAAGAATGTCATTACATACGATTTAAAATTGTTTACAGACAGAGTTCTAATTTCTAATGGTAACTTATTGAACAATAGATACTGTTGATAATGGTAACTTTTGAAGGTTTTACTTAATCTAATATAAGGTGTAACAATATTGTGCTTAGTTCTAGTGTTGTGATGATGATTGCTGTCCTGCATGGGAAAGTTAACTAAATTGTCTTTTACATACATAAGGTTGGAAAAAATATACAGTGATGGCAAAGTTAAAATATTGAGCTGAATAAAACTAGGTTTACAAGATTCACGTTTAGTAAGACCCATAATAGTCCTGATAGCTTTTTTTTGCCAAGTGAATATTTTGTTGGAGGCAGCAGAGTTTCCCCACAAACGAATTCCATAGCTAATTTGTGAGTGGAAGAGACCAAAATATGTCATCCGAAGAACTTCTAAGCTGACACTATGCTTAAGCTTTCTTAACAGGTGGACAATACGAGACAGCTTTTTAGAAAGTTGAGAAACATGTTCTTCCCAAGTCAATTTACTATCTAGATACATACCAAGGAGTTTGACAGGTTTAGTGAGGTTATTGCACAGTTGATTTTTCAAGGAAAAGTACAGGAATTCGGTTTTATCTCCATTTAAGGTTAGATTGTTGGCTGAGTACCATGACTTTGCGGTTGACAAGGCATTGTTGAGTTGAGTTTTTACATCAAATTCAGTTTTAGCAGACACTACAAAAGTTGTGTCATCAGCATACAACACACTCAGAACTGGAATATTACAACTAAAATCGTTTACAAAAACAAGAAACAAAAAAGGCCCTAAAATGGAGCCTTGGGGAACGCCAGTCGTTACATTAAGTATTTCAGAAGCGGTATCCTTAATTACAACAATCTGTTTTCTATTACTTAAATATGAACTTAACAAGCTTAACTCTAGATTGTTGATACCATAAAAACTTAATTTACTACAGAGAACATTGTGAGAGATTGTATCAAAAGCTTTACTTAAGTCTACTAGGCAGGAGCCAACTACCAGTTTCCTTTCAAACCCCTTAAGAATATAGTCAACAACTGTTTCAACAGCCATGGCTGTGGAGCGCTTATGTCTGAAACCATACTGATGATCATACAGTAAATTATGAACTGAGAAATATTCATACAGCTGCTTAAAAATACATGATTCAATAATTTTACTGATGATGGGAACGATTGCTATTGGGCGATAGTTCTCTGGACTGCTTCTTTGACCTTTTTTAAAAATTGGAGAGATCTTTGATACTTTAAGGGAGTCAGGAAAAATGCCAGATTTTAAAATAAGGTTGATAAGAAAGGTGAGGGGATGAACAATGGAAGAACATATTTTTTTCACAATACAGTTACTAAGTCCATACACATCTTCACTTTTGGAGTTGCTCAGTTCAGACACAATAGAGGCAACTTGTTTGGCACTCACTTCCTCCCATTTGAAGACATTAGTATTACTAGGCCTAGAACCATTTCCAGCGTGCTGTTGAAAGTTTTTGATAAAGTCTGTATGCTTGGGGCTGGTAGGAGGGTAGGCGTTGGACTGTGATGCAACATTAACAAAAAAGTTGTTGAGTGTGTTGGGGGATAACGGAATGTCAGTGTTGACCTTTGAATGTCCTGATTCCTTCTTCACTATTTGCCAAGCAGCCTTGCATGTATTAGATGAATTTAAGATCATTGAATCATTAGCCGCTATCTTTGCATCTCTTATTGCATTATTATACATTTTTTTTAAGGCATTAAATCTAGTTTTATCATCATTGCTTAAGCTAACTTTCCACTTATCATATAGACATAACAAAGTTTTTTTCATTGATCTAAGTTCTGCATTATACCAATTCTTTTTTTTTTGTTGTAGGCCTAGAGTTACCCTTATGTTTTACATTAATTATAGGACAATATAAATTCAAGAAATAATTTAATACATTCAATATAAAAGAACAGGCTATATTTACATCAAGAGTTTCATAAAGAGGTGACCAATCATAGATATCTAAGTTAAATCTCAAGTTTTCAACCCTATGGTCCGCAGTCAGGCGTTTCTTCATTATTGCAGGTTTGGGGTTTAGTAGAGATCTATTTTTGTCAATGATTGAATTGTTATTGATAGATAAAAACTTTACCCAAACAGCAGCATGATCTGAGATAATGTCTTGAGCAGTGAAAGAACAGGACAAAAAATCATTGTGAATATTAGTAAAAAAAAACATTGTCAAGACAAGATGAGTTTCTGGTTGGTTGGTTGTGGGCTGGATATAGGTCAAAAGATCTCATAATATTTAAAAAATGATTAGTTTCTTGACTTAAACTTAATATATTAACATTGAAATCTCCTACTATAGCTATGTTGGCATACTTTGACTTACTTATCTTTAATAATAAACATTCTAGGCTATTTACAAAATCATTAAAATTAGAATCAGGTGTACGGTAAACATTAACAATTATAAAATTAAAATCACAAAGATTAACTGCAGAGGCCTCATGGCCTCAAAGATACTATTACAGCATAAATCAGTGATATCGACAGACTCAAAATTTATATTTACTTTAATAAACACTGCGGAACCGCCGTGAGTCAGCGGAGGAAGCCTGCAGTATTTGCCGCCAAGTACGAAGTTCTCGGGAGTGTAGAATGGGAGCTCATCATCAAATAGCCAGTGTTCGCAGATGCAGACAACGTCAGCAGGTTTATCAACAAGCATTGTTTCTATGAGTCCGAGTTTATTCCGAATTGATTGAGCATTGATGGACACAATTGTCAACAAACTGTCTGTTTGTAATTCCGAGTTATCTGCTTCGATAACTGGAGTGTCAAAGAGTTCAACTTGGCCTACACTGTGTCTTGAGCTCTTCCTAAAAAACTTTCATTATTCTTACGAAAACCTACATTGCCTGAGCGATGAGCCCTAGGAGGACGATACTTGCCAACCACAGAGCCTTCAGGCCACAGTTCAGGGTTGAGAAATTCATCACACATTTCAAATGGCACACCTATTTTAAAGGATTTGTAGTGTGCAAACCTGGAGGGTAACTGATTACACTGATAGTCACAGTCTTTAAAGTCTTTCAAGAAGTCAAAAATATTTTGCTCAGTTACAGAAGGGTCAAGACCAGATACAAACAGCCAAAAACATCTTTTAGCCGTCTTTAGGGTGTTTCCAGGACTTACCTTGTTTGTCCCACGAATAACTCTACTGATATTTGTCATCCTAGTAGGATTACTCTTAAGGACATCACTATAGGACGGGTTTGTAGTACTCACCCCCGAAGACCTATGACTGCCTACAGAAGCTGAGTTCGGTGTTTTAGTTTTACTGGTAATCTGCTTATCACTGTTTACCACTTTCGTCACATTTATCGGGGTTTTCTTTGCTAGCCTAGAACTTTTCCTGACTTGAGTCCATTTTGAGTTATTAAAAGTTTTAGTTTTTATAACTTCACCATTCAGATCAGAGTTTACAACAGAGGTTATGTTGACAGATGCAGATGACAAGTTAGAAATAGTGGAGTCACTGCCGATGAGATCTGCTTCGCCACAACATAGAGTACGACAGTCGAGTTTAGTAGGACCGGCAACGACTTTTAAATGTGAAGTCGTTCCATCAGTTAGTGAGTCTTTCGATGAAATGGACTCATTATCGACTTTAGATTCAGTAGACTTTGGATGAGGATCCGTCCACGATGTTTGCAGACGACAATTTTCATCTACTACTAGATTCTCATTTTCAAGCTCAAAATGTTCGGAGTTAACCTCAACTTTATGGGAATTCAATATTTGTTTTAAGCTACTGTTTGCCTTTATACTTTGATTAATTAAAATATTTAGCTTCTTTTCCAAGGTTTTTCCTAAGGTAGAGATTGCACTATCATTTAAGTTAGCTTCAATTATATCGTTTGAGCGGTTTTTAGTTTCGTTAATATGGCTCATTACCTTTGAATCGCACTGAGCACAAAACCAACGAATTATGTCTTGAACTTTTCGTACTTCATTTAATTTCTTCATGGGTATGTCCAAACATTTTAAATGGAACCACGATCCACAAAAACCCTCACATAACAGTGGTTTTTCACTTTCTAAACAGACAATTTTACATACCGCACAAACCAGAGCTTCATCTCCATCCGCCATTTTTCCGCCAAAAAATCATTTGTATTGAATACCAAAACAGAATACTTATTCAGTAACAAAAAAAAAAACATAAACTCCCCAGGAAGTGATGCCATCAAATTATGGGACGCAGGTCACTCATAAGCACCTAGGAAGCGTGTGCCAAGAAGGAAACTGGGGTTCCACGAGCACTTTTGAAGTTGTTTCATGCAATTCGTCCCCTACACACACATAAAAAAGGTGTGGTTGACAGAAGACAGATCGTGTTAGCTTGCAACGGATTGCACAATGGAAACTGAGGAGAATATTTCTCTACACGAACATAATATTGCTCTCCTCCGACTTAGCCTAAGCTCCTATTGCTCATACTAAGGTCTGGTTGTTAAGCGCGTCCCACGCACATGTGCTGTGAGACCGCAATGTGAAGCCAGCGGCCCACACCCCGGCCGTTTTTTAACCTCGAATTAATCTGGACAGCCATTTTACAGTAGGTTATAAATTTGTCAAACAGCCATGACATTCCAACATCCGGCCCAATGATCGATCCAACCACATATAACATAAGTATAACAAGGCGTTTGGTTGTTTTAGGTTGAATAATGAGCTAACCTGAACGTGCGATGTTCCAACACTTTTGCCCGATGACACATGATACTCAGTTTGTGCAGACTTGGTTGTCTGTTGAACAATACCACATCACCGTCCCGCAAGTGGCGTTCTACTATGTCTCCTTCCTGTAAACAGTACACTTGTTATAACAGCCTGAATTTAAAATATCAAATTTCACAAAATTGTTTAAGATATTTTTTATTTTGTTTTAGCGCCCTTGATGAGTGTGATATCTAACTATTCAGAAAAATTAAAAATATCCTTTATTTAACAGGTTTTAAAAATAGTATATTCTATTCAAATTCGGAATTATAAACCATAGAAATGTTTTCACATGACCTAGGGGTTTTGTGGGAACTTAAAGATACCCAAGAAGGAATTTTGAACTAGTTTTTAAGAAACCACCTTCAATTAACACACACTTAGAAATGTAATCAGTAAATTGTTAACATCATGTGTCACCTATTACCTTGAGTTCTTGAGCTATCTTGAACCGGTTGCCGTAACGCAGGTACTTCTTGTAGTTTGAGTCCTTCTGCTGTACAAAGTTTGCCCCGGGGTGGACGTCTGGTCCGTTGATGATTAGTTGCTTCATCAACGCCTTGTTGGCCGGGTGGACCCTCTCTGGGAATGTCAGTATCTTTGCCACATGCACCGGCACACCCACCTGTCACCAATTATTATTATGAATGAATAAAGTTATGTCTGTTTATTGCATGGAATAATTTTTTATTTAAATTGAATAAGAATCATTACTGTAATTTCTGTCTGTTTGTCTATTGGCGACACACAAGATGCCAATAGCCCATATTGTTTGTTAATGAAAGAATAGTTTTTCACAATATTGGACACACTTTCTCTCCAGTTTCGGTAAATGGTTCTATACTATCAGTGGAGTTTTAGAGTTACTTTTTGTTCATAGACCTTTATTACAAATTAACTTACCTCTTCTATCCTTAAATTAGGATCTGGAGAGATGACAGTTCTGCTGGAAAAGTCTACACGCTTGCCTGAGAGATTACCCCTGAATCGTCCCTGCTTGCCTTTCAACCTCTGCACCAGTCCTCGACTGGACTTTTTTGGCTGAAAACAAGACAAATTTTAAAACTTGAGAACATTAAATAGACTACTATCTTACTTCAGAATAAATTACTTATCACAATTTTAATTTGGAATGTAGCTACCGTACTTGTATATTGTACCAAACATAATTGAAAGGCAAATGTGGAATGTGTGTGGTATAGGCTTGTGTAGCTTTCTTGGGACATCCATTCGATTTCAGCTCTGGAATATTGGGGCGAATATGTACTTGTGACGAGCAAGGAAGAGCCCAAACGGCGAGCACTAGGGCACAGGGTCTTCCTCCACTGAGAGCTGTTAGTACATGAGGGCAAGGGGTTCGGAGTGGGACTTTGCCCAAGACATCAGCATTAGTGCTAGACATCTCTTGTATGCCATTGAATTGTTCCTCTCAACCTTATTTCTCTGTGTTATAAATAGATTTATTCAGTCACAACAAATATTTAGCACACTGATCAAAGGCAGATATCAGAGTTAAACACAGTTTAAAAGCTATTGAATTTTCTCTGGATTAGGCTATATCAGCGGCTTTGGTAAAACTTCAGACAAAAATAAACATGGTAGTTAACTTACAGAAGTATCAGTTCAATAATGTTTCCAGACGAGCTAGAAATTTAAAATTTGTATAGCTTATAGTCTTTAAGCCTTAAAATTTGTAAAGAAGTTTAGGAACGACCTTTTACTGATAAATAACTTTATTCTTAAGGGGGTGCAAGTTGATTTGGTGTTAGAGAGCGGGCTTCCATCCCCAGGGTTCAAGGTTTAAATCCCGCAAATCGCCAATAACTTTAACTATATGATAATGTGTTGATCCTGAAGTCCTATTCAGAAGGAATGTGTAAAATAGTTCCGGGTTCTAATAATTATGTGAAAGTGGGACATTAACTATGACTCTGAAGTACATAACCTACCTGCATGTTGATTGGTATCCCCGAGGTCTCACTGTTGATGTATAAAGCACAATGCAGCTGTAGAAACTCCCAATCTTCATTGATCATCTGAGCCTTGGCTCCGGACTGTCGATGTTTGGCTATCACGTCATTGATAAACACGATCTCCGACAGTTTCATTGTCAAATCATCTTCATTGCTATGTAAAATGTGTGAATAGTAAATTAATTATGTCAGTCCAAAGCAGCACAAAATATATCTAGGCTAGCAAGAGTAAAATAACAAAACCTTTTTATACAACTGTCTATACGGGCATAGCTCGAAACAACTGAAAACTATACGTACCTGGCATGCACTGTGACCTGAAAGTCAAGCTTACAACTAACACACAACTCAACTTTGTAATGCTTTAGGTTTACAAGTACTGATGGCACAGTAGACCTTAAGGTCTAGTATAGCACTGTAGATCAAGAGTTTGAATCCTGTCTTAGTTAGATCTGTTATACAATAAATTCATGAGTTCACTTGTCCACGGGAAAGCTTGGCGGGAGAGGCCCTCCTAAAATAAACAGTGGGATGGCTTAAGTGTAAGTTAACAGGATGGATGAAAAATTACTTTATTCTGCCTCCACCAAAAACTTCTTTTACAAGAATTTGGAATTTTGTGTTTACGTTTAAAAATGACTTTAAAACATGATGCCAGAATTAAAAAAATCAGCATGAAGTTACACTACTAGCATGCTTGTTAGCGATGTATACTTACGTTCCAGATTTGAGGTCAGATATGACAGAGGGCCTGATACAGATGGGTGGCACGGGTATGCGAGTGAGGATGAGATGTGCCGGGTGAGACACTGAAGGGTTCATCAGCAACAACTGGACGTCCTGCTCCGGGATGGCCTCCAGCAGTCGTAGGACCTCCTGTGGGTTCAGGATCTGTGTGAGGCCGTGTTTGCGAGCAGACTCCAGCTCAGGGTTGTACGCAACCACATCGTCATACTCAGCTGATAACAGAAAGCAACTTAATATTAGAGTAAAACCTCTCCCAACAAAAATAATGACTAACCAAAAGAGTCTTTGAAAATAAAAACAACAACATGTATATTACGACGGGTCGAATTTTTAAGAGGAAGTGTTAGGCAATGTGGTGCAAGTAGGCCATATATGATGTAAGTGCTAACTTAAAGAAGGTTATTGCTTTAAAAAGGTCGTTAGACATTGTCTATGGGGGAGTTAGAGAGTTGCTTTAGGGTGGGATGTTAGAGGTTTAACTTGATTGGAATTTTTAGTTTTTAAAATTTGTGTTTTAAATCCTATACTTATTTAATAGACACGAGGTTTGTACATATTACAAAGTGAAGAAGATGTGCACATTATATAGGACACAAAATACATGCATCTTAAACTAAAGAAGAGAAAATGAAATAAAGAAAGGTGGCACCGTGTTCAGGTATAAGGCTGTTGACTGCTAAACAACACAAACTACAACACACACTACTATAATTTACAAGAAGTAGATAGAAACAGATGCTAGTATGTCAGTGCTGTTCAAAGTAGTGGTGGTGATGTTGTAAAAAAGTTGCATGTTAGGCCTAAAAGAAATTAGATGATTTGTCGGTTGTTAAAAATGCATAATCAATCTACATGTATCTGTTATAACGTTTATTCACACGTATATAACCTTTATCTGTACTTGAGTTACATTATTGCCTTGCAATAATTAATAAAAGAAAATGTTTTAACTAAAATATTGTCATAAAAAAATGGGCTATTTTCCTTTCATTACTGTTAAGAGATTTTTCTGTATTATCATCAGAACATGAAGGTGACAAACTGCTCGCACTGTAATTGAAAGGTAAACTAAAGTATTACACACCTCCATGAGGGGACCTCTATGATGACTGAAGAAGTTCTACCTTAGAACGAAATATCAGTGATGAACTGTGCACAATTTTGACACTTTTCTCACAACAACTGAACTTTACTCTTCTCAAAATAACTTAACCTTACAACACTTTATCCAAACCAAAAACTTTAGTGAACTCATTTGTATTTTATCTTGATTGAGAGGGTATTATCTTAAACCATAATCTTACCCAACTTTGCAGCCATGATGCCTTCTGGGCGTTTGGTCCGGAACTTTTCATGGCTGATTTTGAGTAAGCCACATTTCTTGATGACTCCATTGATGTCACCACAGTGGGGACAAAGGCTAACTTTCTTGGCGCGTTCTTGTACCTGCTTGCGCAAAGCCTTGCGAGCTAAGTACGTGAGGTTTGGGTTGCGCACCTTTGCGTAGAAAGACATACGGTCCTTGTCAGTCAGCAACACATGAGCGCAGAGAGGGTTCTGTAAGCGAACACATTTGAGGTTAGTGTATGGAGACATTTAAAATATGATTCTTCCGCAAAACCCTACAAGTACTTTATGCTCTAAACTTGGTTACTTTTTGGAGGTAATTATTTTATTTTAGTGTCTTAGGCAAATGTTTATAAAAATATATAGAACAAAACTAAATAATACAGATATAAATAAGTACAGGGTGTCTACCAGTTGATCAAACTAATTTTCAGTGACTTTTGGGAGGGGAAAGATGTTAAACACACGCTCTTTGGTACCAATACGACAATACTTTTCATTAACTTGAACATGAGATAATTGGGCATACAATATTTTGTGTCATAATAATTTGAGCTGGTTGCCTGCTCCCAAAATATGTTCCCTCTCTGATTCTGCATCAAGAATTTAACACATTCGCTGCTGAAAACCTTTAAACAGGCGCTCGCCAATTGCGGCGAGGCCAGGGCGGAGCCCCGACGCGCTAACTGAATCAGCGACGCTATTGGTATTGAAATATCTCAGTAAGACGAATCACAAAAGAGCAGTGGTGATTGTTCTGCGTTACTCCGAAAGTGGACGTAGTTCACTGAAACACCCAAAGGTAGCAGCACTGCCTGGATCAATAACCAGAGTCTTTGTAATACGGCTCGAACTGAGAAAATCCCCGAAAACGGGACAAAAGCATTGCCAGACGGGATTTTACGGGAAATCTTTGTACCAACCTACACCAGAATAAAGCTCGCATTATAAGCTACAGGCTGGTAAAGATTACAACGTTCCCCCGACAATGGCTGAACCACACTGATCCGGCAAACAATGCAATGCGCGCTCCCCCACCGGTGGACCCCCCGCTCCTCAGCTGAGACGCGCGGGGTCCACCGGTGGACCCGCCGCATCGAATGTGTTAATCATTGCCTGCAGCAAGGTGCAAAACAAAAAAAGACAGGTTTGGGAAACTTTATTTAGTGGGGCATATTTTTGTCTGTGACTTTTGGGATCCTAAAACATACTTTTCAGTGACTTCTGTGACCTGTAGACACCATGAAGTAGGTTACATATTTACCGGTAATCGGAAAAACTTACAGCTTATTTTTTTTTTATGAAATAGGTACACAACCTTAAATAATCTGGTAACTATGCCTAAGGTAAAAAAGTGGAATTGAACTTACCTTACATACAGTCTGCAGGATGTTTATTACAGAGCGGAAATATCCAATATGAAACACAGGTAGTTCAAGATCAATATATCCAAAGTGTCCTACACAATCATTCAGACCTTTACTGCAAGACTGGCAGTTTGCGTCTTTCTGGTTAGTTCCCTAACAAACAAATAACAAGGTTAATGTATTGAAAAATAAAAAGAGTTATTTTTACAAATTTATACATTATTTAACAAAAAAACTTAATGGTATTAATTGAGAAGCATTTTTGAAATACTGTAGTACTTAACAGTGTTTTTCTTGGGGTTATAATAGTAGGTAGGTACAAAAACAGTCTGTAGGTAACATAAACTAATAATTCAATTCATTAGAACCTAAAAATTGCCTTCCTCATCTAACCTAATTGCAAAACACTTAATGCAGTCACAAATTCGCATAATGCCGATCAGAATCAGAGTTAGATCTTCCAGTTGTTGCTTGTCGTGTGGTTGAAAATCCTTACTTAACCCACAGTTCATTCCACTTGTAAATGTCATCCGTCCTACCTTGTTTATTCTAATGTTGTATATTTTTACGAGGATATTTTGAGTAATATTTGTCAATTTGGATTCAGGAGGTAAAAAACTATAAAGTAAGACATCAATATTGAAAATTCGTTTGGAGGCACCTATAGCAAATAAATACCAAATAATCTAACTAAATTCCAACTACGACACATCTCTTAACAATAATTTAATACAAGTAGGCCTACACTAAAATAACTTTAAGTTAGCCTATTAGAATGTATTCTCAAAACATTGTTACCGGTAGTAACATATATTTACCATCCGTCTATCCAAAACACCAAAGGGAACTGGGGTTCTTGCTGTATCTTGGGAGTATAAATTTTTGGCAACAACATGCAAATGTGCCTGTTGCTGCATTTGATGGGGTCCATCCACGCCAAAGCTGACATGGGATCTGGTTTAACAAACAAAATAACTTAACATAAAATATTATTGCTAAAACTCTTGAAATAAGTAGAAGGAAGTTATGCTGTAAGTTAGTGTTTTCCCCAGTGTTTTAATTGTATATAAACTATAAACAATCTGGAGGTAGCATAAGCTAAATAAAATTTACCTTTCTAATTCAACCTAACTTCAAACTCTTAATAGGCCAATACAGCCCTGAATTTGGATTAAGCCATCGTCTAAAAAAGGCAACCATAAAACGAGAATATGGGGATAAAATTTGTGTTTGTACCATAAGTGTCATAGGAAAAAATTCTTAAAATTTATTCATTTAGCCTAGCCAAAGAATAGAAAGTTTGTAAAAATCGTTTGAGTAACACATTAAGTTTACTAGGTGGCGTTCGCAGAGGCATCCACAAAATTGAGCGGAGCCATCAAGGGTTTATATTATATTGTTTTGGTCATACTGCAGTAATACCAGTCGTTTTTAATACATGCGTTGCGGGTCTAAAGTAGCATTTTTACTCTTTAGGAAGTAAAAATAGTTTTTATCCTCTATGGAGAAAAAGTCAGCTGTTGTCAACTCAGTTGTAAATTTCTATTGTAAACGATTACATGTATCGAAATGTGTATCGATTCGTGCTTCGTAATTATTTTAACCTACAGTCTACAGTCTCTTCCCATAGCGTTTTAGCATAGCAGATACATTTATCCATTCCCACACTCAACACGCTCACCTTTACTACATCCTTCACCACCCCCTACGTCGTGGACCTATTTCCCTCTCTTCCCATAGCATTTTAGGATTGCAGATACATTAATGTAATTGCCAAAGACAGTTCCCACACTCTACACTGCAAGCCTTACTACTTCCTTCACAATTTCCTACGTCATAGACTCTTGTTTCCTTCCCTTCTCATAGCATTTTTGGATTAAAGATACATCAATCTAACTGCCACAGACGGTTTTCACACTATGCTCATACTTTACTACTTTCTAAGCAATTTCCTACATCGTGGACCTGTTTTCATCACTTTCCATAGCAATTAAGTATTTTAGATACGTTAATCGAATTGCCACAAACATTCCCCACACTCCGCACTGCTAGCTTTTACTACTTCTTTCACCATTTTCTATGTCGTGGGGATGCTTCCATCCTTTCTGCTAGCATTTCAGCATTGCAGATACATTAATCTAACTGCTACAAACGGTTTCCAGTTCCCACACTCCACACTGCTCACCTTACTACTTCCTTCACCTCTTCTTACGTCGCGGACCTGTTTCCCTCTCTTCCCATAGAATTTTAAGATTGTAGATACCTTAATCTAATCGTCATAAACAGTTCCCACACTCCGGACAGCTTGCCTTGACTACTTCCTTCACCACTTCCTACATCGTGGACCTGTTTTCCTCCCTTCCCACAGCGTTTTATGATTGCAGATACCTTAATCTAATCGTCATAAACAGTTCCCACACTCCGGACAGCTCGCCTTGACTAATTCCTTCACCACTTCCTATGTCGCGGACCTGTTTCCCTCCCCTCCCATAGCATCATAGGATTGCAGATACCTTAATCTAATCGTCATAAGCAGTTCCAACACTCCTGACTGCTCGCTTTTACTACTTCCTTCACCACTTCCTACGCCACCGACCTGTTTCCCTCCCTTTTCATAGCATTTTGTGATTGCAGATACCTTAATCTAATCGTCATAAACAGTCCCCACACTCCGGACAGCTCGCCTTGACTACTTCCTTCATCACTTCCTACGTTGCGGACCCGTTTTCCTCCCTTCCTATAGCATTTTATGATTGCAGATACCTTAATCTAATCGTCATAAACAGTTCCCACATTCCAGACTGCTCGCATTTACTACTTCCTTCACCACTTCCTACGTCACGGACCTGTTTACCTCCCTTTCCATAGCATTTTAGGATTGCAGATACCTTGATCTAATCGTCATAAACAGTTCCCACACTCCGGACAGCTTCCCATGACTACTTCCTTCACCACTTCCTACATCGTTGACTCGTTTTCCTCCCTTCCAATAGCATTTTATGATTGCAGATACCTTAATCTAATCGTCATAAACAGTTCCCACACTCCGGACTGCTCGCCTTTACTACTTCCTTCGCCACTTCCTACGTCGCGGACCTGTTTCCCTCCCTTCCCATAGCATCATAGGATTGCAAATACCTTAATCTAATGCTCATAAACTGTTACCACACTCCGGACTGCTCGCATTTACTACTTCCTTCACCACTTCCTACGTCACGGACCTGTTTACCTCCCTTCCCATAGCATTTTATGATTGCAGATACCTTAATCTAATAGTCATAAACAGTTCCCATACTCCCGACCGCTAGCCTTTACTACTTCCTTCGCCACTTCCAACGCCACCGACCTGTTTCCTTCCCTTTCCATAGCATTTTATGATTGCAAATTTCTTAATATAATAGTCATAAAAAGTTCCCACAATCCGGACAGCTCTCGCCTTGACTACTTCCTTCATCACTTCCTACGTCGCGGACCCGTTTTCCTCCCTTCCCATAGCATTTTATGATTGCAGGTACTTTAATCTAAACGTCATAAACAGTTCCCACACTCCGGACTGCTCGCCTTTACTACTTCCTTCACCACTTCCTACGTCGCAGACCTGTTTTCCTCCCTTCCCATAGCATTTTATGATTGCAGGTACTTTAATCTAAACGTCATAAACAGTTCCCACACTCCGGACTGCTCGCCTTTACTACTTCCTTCACCACTTCCTACGTCGCAGACCTGTTTCCCTCCCTTCCCATAGCATCATAGGATTGCAAATACCTTAATATAATGGTCATAAGCAGTTCCCACACTCCGGACAGTTCGCCTTGACTACTTCCTTCATCACTTCCTACGTCGCGGACCTGTTTTCCTCCCTTCCCTTATGATTTTTGGAATGCAGATACCTAAATCTAATCGTTATAAACAGTTTCCACACTCCAGACTGCTCGCATTTACTACTTCCTTCACAACTTCCTACGTCACGGACCTGTTTACCTCCCTTCCCATAGCATTTTATGATTGCAGATACCTTAATCTAATCGTCATAAACAGTTCACATACTCCGGACCGCTAGCCTTTACTAATTCCTTCGCCACTTCCAACGCCACGGACCTGTTTCCTTCCCTTTCCATAGCATTTTATGATTGCAAATTTCTTAATATAATAGTCATAAAAAGTTCCCACACTCCGGACAGCTCTCGCCTTGACTACTTCCTTCATCACTTCCTACGTCGCGGACCCGTTTTCCTCCCTTCCCATAGCGTTTTATGATTGCAGGTACTTTAATCTAAACGTCATAAACAGTTCCCACACTCCGGACTGCTTGCCTTGACTACTTCCTTCACCACTTCCTACATCGTGGACCTGTTTTCCTCCCTTCCCACAGCGTTTTATGATTGCAGATACCTTAATCTAATCGTCATAAACAGTTCCCACACTCCGGACAGCTCGCCTTGACTACTACCTTCATCACTTCCTACGTCGCGGACCTGTTTTCCTCCCTTCCCTTATGATTTTTGGAATGCAGATACCTAAATCTAATCGTCATAAACAGTTTCCACACTCCAGACTGCTCACCTTTAGTACTTCCTTCACCACTTCCTACATCGCGGACCCCTTTTCCTCCCTTCCCATAGAATTTTAGGAATGCAGATACCTAAATCTAATCGTCATAAACAGTTTTCACACTCCAGACTGCTCACCTTTAGCATTTCCTACGTCATGGACCTCAAGCTAGTGTCGTCATTTGATTATATATGATTCATACCGTTTCTGTTCTAATATCTGTGGAATAATGCTATCAGCTATTTCTTTATCTACTGCATTCAAAAGTCAACAGCTGATCATATGTCTTTGTTTATGTGTCAAATACTGCTTCTATAAGGATTACATTGAAACTTTGAGACCCAGTGGGGCGGATTCCTGAGAGTTATTTTTAACGCTATATAGATGTTGGCACTCACCGATATGGTCTTTATCACCATCCAAAATTTGAAAACGATTGATTCAGCCGTCTAGGAGGAGTTTGCGTATTACGAAATGCATAAAAGTCGATGTATGAGAGCTTCGCTCGCTCCGCTCAATTAATACAGAGAGGCTAGGCATCCGGCAGTGACATCACCGGGTTGTGGGAGTCCGGAACACCATTACCACAACAAGACAACGTACAAACATCGGTGTTCGTGGTGTAGTGGATAGATTACTCGGCTGATGTACAAGAGATATCTAGATCGAATCCCATCGGTGGCACTAACTTTTTGTCATAGATTTTGGGTACACTTCCATATCTGTTGGCACAAGCAACCGAATGAAAATATCAATCGATATATCGTTTGGTTAGTTAGGTAAGGTTACCTAACCTAACTAACCAAACGATATATCAAATTTAACAATTGAATAATCAATATTACTCATTCGGTTGTTTGTGCCAACAGATGTGGAAGTGTACCCATTTTGTAATCAAGGAAAATATAATTTAGAGAACTAGAGCTAGGGCTAGTCCTAGTTGCTGAATAACTTAGGTATGAGTAACTTACATTTTCTTGGCTAAATCTGTTTCTCGGTACTGTTCTTTGACCATTGTGAGAGTGAGCTTTTTGCTTTTACATGAAAGAGGACATTGGTTAAACAATTACACTTTATAATAAGCTTCACTAAATCGATTGACTAAGTTAGTTTACGGTGAATGGTGTGGTGAATCTGCAAGATGTGTCGATGTGTGTTGTGTTAGGTTATGTTGTTGTTTGTTTCCAAAATTTCGTCATTCTGTTGCCATCCACTCGGAGACTCACTCAGAGGTCTTTGCTTATGCTTGACTGCAAAATAGGAAAAACTAACTCAAAGTTAATTATGTGACCATAGATTAACAATACTACCATTGACTATATAACACTATGTAGTGTTATATAGTCAATGATACTACGTTTTATCTTTGATACTACTTAGAATTGGGCTCAAATCCTCAATGTTCATTCAACCACCCAAGACAATAAAAATAAGAAATAAATTCTACAAGGCCTCGTTTTCCGTGTTTCTACCTGGTGGTATGGAATCATGGTCTTCTGATTGGCAAGTTGAGGAGTTTGGGACTTTGGGAGTAGACAGCGTGGCACTGAGGATGATCGACTGCTACTCCTACCCGGCGGGAAGACATCAGGTGGATTCTGTTGAGGGCACTGGGCACAACATATACGTCCAAAAGTGTCAGGTATGGCGTTCCTCAGAGTTCGATTGTAAGGCCAGGAACACACTTACCGGCGAAACCGGAGGTTGAGGGTCAGAACACACTTATTCCGGCGAAAATAAATAGAGTGCAATGAACTCTGAATCAGTTTTGTCTTAGACTAGTACAGTTTAGTCTTAGAAATGGTGCTGTCGGGTCGGGACCTCAAAAGTTGGCCTTGCTGTGTTTGTTCCACCACAAAAGGAAGAGAAAACACCACCGAACTGTTTGGGCGCATCCTATTCTGGAGAACAGACAGCTACATGGAGCTTTTTACACTCTATTTTTACAGCTGAGAAATGAAGAAAATAAGTTTTTTTAAATTATTTTCGAATGTCTGTACCCTCATTCAACTATCGAAGATTACAGTGCAAATACAAGGACAAAACATATACATGAGACGCTGGAAAGGTTGGATTCAGTGCTGCACAAATTTGTCGCCAGCTGCTGCTGTCCCTCGTTTTGTTTTTGTCTTTGTAAATTTCCAAAGACCTATCGCAATGTTCTGGTTTCTCATGGACCAAACTAATAAGTAAATCCATATCAACATCTACCATGATGATATACAGATAAACAGACTAAAAATAAAAACTAAATCAACTAAATAGCAAAACAAAACTAAATACACCACTTGGACACTGCATACAAATCATAAACAATCACCACCCTCGAGGGTTGAACCACGACTGAGGAGTGGGGGCAGTTGCAGTCCGGCTGTTTCGCCGGTAAGTGTGTTCATCTCCACAAGGCACAATGCCCCACTACCCACTGCTCCGGCGAAACCGCCGATCCGGCGGTCCGGCGAGGTAGAGAATATCCGGCGGTTTCGCCGGAGCATTTTCCCGCCGGATCGGCAGATTTGCCGAACCGGATGAGTGTGGCCTGCCTCATGCCTTCCTGTGTATCTCAACGGGAACGCGCCAAGGCGCCACCACGTCAACCCGCCACCAAGTCAACCCGCCATCAAAAAGAAGAAGAAGTTTGAGGTGGCGGGTTGACGTGGTGGCTCGTTGTCGGGATGGCACGTTGACTCTAGCGTGCACGACAACCCGCCACCTTGGAAAAATGTGTGGTGGCGGGTTGTCGTGGTGGCACGTTGTCCTGGTGGTGCTTAGACATGTTCATACACGTCAACCAGCCACCTCTTTAGTGTGGTGGCGGGTTGACGTGGTGGCTGGTTGACGTCTACGTGCGAGGTGGCGGGTTGACGACACCGAACATTGAGCGTACACGACAACCCGCCACCTCATAAAATAGTGATGGCGGGTTGACGTGGTGGCACGTTGTCGTTTACATGCGAGTTGGTGGGTTGACGAGAGTTGGTCTACTCACCTTGACTACTTCCTTCACCACTTCCTACGTCACGGACCTGTTTCCCTCCCTTCCCTTAGCATTTTAAGATTGCAAATACCTTAACCTAATCGTCATAAACAGTCCCCACACTCCGGACAGCTTGCCTTGACTATTTCTTTACCACTTCCTACGACGCGGACCTGTTTCCCTCCCTTCCCTAGCATTTTCAGAATGCAGATACCGTAATCTAATCGTCATTAACAGATCCCACACTCTATACACCCTTGACTACAATGTATCGAGTAATGTGCAGTATAATCTTTACTCCACGGACTACATGGGGCGTACACGACAACCCGCCATCTTTGTTGGCAAAAGCCGCTGTTGTCTGTGTATTATAAAATGCATCACTTTTTGCAGTTTACCTGGACTTGTGTTATCTAGTTTACTGTTAAGTTAACTAGACATTAGTTATTGTGAATTCATTAATTTTCGAATCGTTTTCCTAAAAAGATCTGCTATAGAAATAAAGTACATGCGCATCCACGCAAGACAATTTTTCCTTTTAATCAATGGTTATTGTTTTAAAAAATGTTTGTAAGATAAACTCACTACAAATTAACGATTTAGGGTCATTCTAGAATTAAAATAACAATATTTGCTATGTTTTCGCATATTTTATTGAAGACAAAAACATGAAACTTATTTAATCATTTTGAAAAATAAGTTATTAGTTTCCTAGGATTTTTTGTAGGTGTATACCTGGTATAATACCCATACTTATTTTGTTTTTCAGCATTATGACAATGAATTACAAAATAAGTTTCCTAACAACTTCATCAATTAATTGTAAGTACCTGGGGACCGAGCTTTGCTCGGGTAAAATCATAAGTTTCCTATTAAAGCAGTCTTAGTATTGCAGGTACATTAATCCATTCCCAAAATCCACACTCCTCGCCTTTACTACTACCTTCACCACTTCCTACGTCGTGGGCCTGTTCCTTCCCTTCCCATAGCATTTTAAGATTGCAGATACCTTAATTTAATCATCATAAACAGTTCCCACACTCCGGACTACTCGCCTTTACTACTTCCTTCACCACTTCCTACGTCGCGGACCTGTTTCCCTCCCTTCCCATAGCATTTTAAGATTGCAGATACCTTAATCTAATCTTCAAAAACAGTTCCAACACTCCGGACTACTCGCCTTGACTACTTCCCTCACCACTTCCTACGTCACGGTCCTGTTTCCCTCCCTTCCCATAGCATTTTAGGATTGCAGATACCTTAATATAATCGTCAAAAACAGTTCCCACACTCCGGACTACTCGCCTTGACTACTTCCTTCACCACTTCCTACGTCGCGGACCTGTTTCCCTCCCTTCCCATAGCATTTTAGGATTGCAGATACCTTAATATAATCGTCAAACAGTTCCCACACTCCGGCCTACTCGCCTTGACTATTTCCCTCACCACTTCCTACGTCACGGACCTGTTTCCTTCCCTTCCCTTAGCATTTTAAGATTGCAGATACCTTAATCTAATCGTCATAAACAGTTCCCACACTCCGGACTTCTCGCCTTGACTAATTCCCTCACTAATTAATACGTCACGGACCTGTTTTCCCTCCCTTCCCATAGCATTTTAAGATTGAAGATACCTTAATCTAATCGTCATAAACAGTTCCCACACTCCGGACTACTCGCCTTTACTACTTCCTTCACCACTTCCTACGTCGCGGACCTGTTTCCCTCCCTTCCCATAGCATTTTAAGATTGCAGATACCTTAATCTAATCTTCAAAAACAGTTCCCACACTCCGGACTACTCGCCTTGACTACTTCCCTCACCACTTCCTACGTCACGGTCCTGTTTCCCTCCCTTCCCATAGCATTTTAGGATTGCAGATACCTTAATATAATCGTCAAAAACGGTTCCCACACTCCGGACTACTCGCCTTGACTACTTCCCTCACCACTTCCTACGTCACGGTCCTGTTTCCCTCCCTTCCCATAGCATTTTAAGATTGAAGATACCTTAATCTAATCGTCATAAACAGTTCCCACACTCTGGTCTACTCACCTTGACTACTTCCTTCACCACTTCCTACGTCACGGACCTGTTTCCCTCCCTTCCCTTAGCATTTTAAGATTGCAAATACCTTAACCTAATCGTCATAAACAGTCCCCACACTCCGGACAGCTTGCCTTGACTATTTCTTTACCACTTCCTACGACGCGGACCTGTTTCCCTCCCTTCCCTAGCATTTTCAGAATGCAGATACCGTAATCTAATCGTCATTAACAGATCCCACACTCTATACACCCTTGACTACAATGTATCAAGTAATGTGCAGTATAATCTTTGCTCAAAACTAACTACTGATATTTTTCCTTTTGTACTGTATTTTGTTTTGCTAGTATACTGTGGATAGACAACTTACAAGTCTTTTGTTTACTTTTTCCTTGTTATTTAATTCAGCCAAGATGGTTACCTAGCAACCCATAAGACTAATGTTAAAAAAATGTGACTTTCAGTTTCGTTTTTCTACGTAATTAGATTTTTGTTGGCAGTTGTAACTGTAGTAAACTCGTTTTTAGGCCAAAAATAATCTATTTACAACATTTGAAGAAAATCGTCGGAGCCGTTTTCGAGATCTTGGTGCAAGCAAGCAAGCATACATACATACATACAAGCAAACATTGCTCGTATTAGAGTATAGGATTCACGTGTGTATGGCCTAAACAAAAATCATGAAAATGTATTGTTCGTTTATAATTTCTCTTAAAACCGTATTGTGGTGAAAATAATAATACAATCAACCAAAAACATAAAACAAAATATAGGTACATTGTTGATACAGAGTACAACATACTAATATGTACTTTGTGTGGACTAGCGCGCACCTGTTTTCTATTTAAATAAGAATTTGAGAAAGGATACAGAACTAGACTCGACCCAACCGGTAACGTACTTTGACCTCTTGAGTCAAGGGTATTGCCCACATAAGTTCATACCAGACAGATATATTCCAAAAATCTCATTAGGAGATATCTTAAATCAAGATTTCTATTGAATTTATCATGATCTGCTTGAAATTCCATTTTATGCTTCAGGAAATACCGTACCGTTACTTTGGTATTATTCGGAGGCCACTTGTTTTCTAGAGGAATTTTTTTACCTAAGACAAAAA